CATTTATTCTTAAATTAACTGAAACTATGAACTGAAAAAAAAATGTTTTACAAGAAATTGGATTGTAAAAGAATCATGAACAGAAATCAGCAAGTAAATTAAGTATCAGCAACCATAAGTGAGTTAGGAAGCAACAAAGTTGTCTTGGTTTACAAGAAATAGTACATACAACAATGCAACAAAACTTTGTTCCGCTTTACAAGCGAATTTGAAAAACAACCAAACATAATTGTAACTCTGAAAGATGTGAACACTTTAAATGGAAGTTAATAAATAAAGGTATCAACCTAAATAGAAAAATTATTTACTGCAGAAAAAAAAAATACAAGTTGCAATTGATAATAACATAGTAGACTAAGGGAAGTCACCTTGGTGTTGTAGCTAGACGCTAGCCTGCAAATCAGAAGGTTGTTGGTTCGAATTCTGACGGAGCCTGACTTTAAAAAAAAAATTGCCATGACTGCCAGGTTGACCCAGCCTTGAGTGGGTACCAGGTTGACCCAGCCTTGAGTATGTACCAGGTCAACCCAGCCTTGAGTGGGTACCAGGTCAACCCAGCCTTGAGTGGGTACCAGGTTGACCCAGCCTTGAGTGGGTACCAGGTTGACCCAGCCTTGAGTGGGTACCAGGTCAACCCAGCCTTGAGTGGGTACCAGGTCAACCCAGCCTTGAGTGGGTACCAGGTTGACCCAGCCTTGAGTGGGTACCAGGTTGACCCAGCCTTGAGTGGGTACCAGGTTGACCCAGCCTTTAGTGGGTACCAGGTCGACCCAGCCTTGAGTGGGTACCAGGTCAACCCAGCCTTGAGTGGGTACCAGGTTGACCCAGTCTTGAGTGGGTACCAGGTTGACCCAGTCTTGAGTGGGTACCAGGTTGACCCAGTCTTGAGTGGGTACCAGGTTGACCCAGTCTTGAGTGGGTACCAGGTTGACCCAGTCTTGAGTGGGTACCAGATCAACCCAGCCTTGAGTGGGTACCAGGTCAACCCGGCCTTGAGTGGGTACCAGGTTGACCCAGCCTTGAGTGGGTACCAGGTCAACCCAGCCTTGAGTGGGTACCAGGTCAACCCAGCCTTGAGTGGGTACCAGGTCAACCCAGCCTTGAGTGGGTACCAGGTCAACCCAGCCTTGAGTGGGTACCAGGTCAACCCAGCCTTGAGTGGGTACCAGGTCAACCCAGCCTTGAGTGGGTACCAGGTTGACCCAGCCTCAAGTGGGTACCAGTACTCCAGTGGGTGCAGTCCCTCTGTGGTATACCACGGATAGAAACTGCAGATGAACTTGCTGAGAAAGAGGGGAGAACGTCAACAGGAAGACAGTGCAGTAACACACTTTGAGGAAAAAAGACCATCCAGTCTATCAGAAGAGAACAGAATCAAGCCAGTGATGACAGCAATTACCTGGCTGTCATCACTTCAGAACAGGGTATAACAAAGTTAACAAACATGGGCATAGGCTCTGTCTGAGTAGTTCACCAGTATGTCCATGTGGGTTATGCACACAATAGCCGTACAGTACAGCCCATTCAGAAGGAAATACTGGCCCAAGTGGTCAATAGTATACTCTGGAACTAAAGAGCGCCTCCCTCCCATTTCTGCCCTCCCACCATGATTAAATTTATCAAAAGAATTTGTCTTTTGGTTTAAATCATGGGGGAAGTCCCCGTGGTGGAGCGGCCAGACGCTCGCCGCGGATCGGAAGGTCGTGGGTACGCTCCCTGGCGGAACCAGACTTTTTTCAAAAATGACCTTGGCTCCCAGGTCGACCCAGCCTTGAGTGGGTACCAGGTGCAGTCCCGGGAAGTAGAAGCGGCCGGCATGCTGCTGACCACATCACCCATCCTGTGCTGATTGGTCTATAAAAATATAGGTCTAGCCCTATATGCCCTATACCCCTAAAGGCGTGGAAAAGGGTCCTTTACTTTTTTATTTTAAATCATCGAAACAATCACAAGAAGAAGAGCAGACACAAATAATTTCTAGTAACTAAAAGATAAATACTTGCTTAAAACTGCAGCTGTAAAATAAAAGTGCACTAAATTAATTTAATCTAATACATTTATACCGTTCAACAACAAAAAATGCCATAGCTACTGAAAGGAACATATACATTCACATTTTTAACATTCTGCATCTTTGTAATGCAATAAGTGAAATTACTCAAATTATACACAAGAATATCTTAGGGTTGCACCAATCAATTAACATTCTTTTGTGTGCATCTGGGTCATGATAATTGTAGGCATACAGCCTTTCCTATTATTATGGTGTGTGGCCTCTTCTTGAGTGGATGAGTGACTTAGAATCTCATGGGCATGTCTGATGTGGGCCTGTAGGATGTACGCCTAATCTGTAGGATGTACGCCTAATCTGTAGGATGTACGCCTAATCTGTAGGATGTACGCCTAATCTGTAGGATGTACGCCTAATCTGTAGGATGTACGCCTAATCTGTAGGATGTACGCCTAATCTGTAGGATGTACGCCTTTTCTGTAGGATGTACGCCTAATCTGTAGGATGTACGCCTAATCTGTAGGATGTATGCCTAATCTTCCTGGAGTGCCAACAGATCATGACCATTGGCTGGAGCAACATCTTGGCCACAAACATGACTTTGCAGCTCATCCCCTAGGTGTTCAATCGGACTCGTGTCTGCAGTCAGGGATAGACAGGAAAGGGTTTGAATGTTATTGGCAGCCAGGAACTGCATGGTCAGTGGTGCAGAATGGGGTCTGGCATTGTCCTGTTGAAAAAAGATATCTGTTGGCATCCCAAAATTGAAGGACATGTGGTCAAAGAATTTCATTGATGTATCGTTGCACATGCAAGCTTCCTTCAATGAGCACCAGTTGACCCCTTCCACTACCATGCAGCAGAGCTTTCGTCGTCACAATTTCGGGCTAAACCTTCATTTCACCTACAGTAGATCCAACACTGTCTATCATGACGCTGCAACAAAAAGAAAGAATCATCACTGAACCAGACATGTCTCCACTGATTGTCACCTGCCCATGAACGATGTTGGTTGGCCCAAAGAAGTCGATTTTGGTGGTGGTGATGCATAAGGACAGGTCCTCAGTGTGATCGTCGTGCTTAAAGTCCAACGTAATGCAGTCTTTTCCCAACACTTTGATAAGACACATGATGTCCTGAAGGCAAAAGCCTGCACAGTTGAGGAAGCTGTTGTAAACCTGTCTTTGAGGTGATGAAGCAGAATAAAGCGATTCTCTGCTGCTGTTATCGTCCACTGTGATGTCGGTCTTCAACTGAACCAGTAGCTTGGAACTAGTGCCAAAATTAACTGCTGGTACTCTGATGCCTGGCATTCTGACTTGGACTTTTTCCTGCCTGCAATCGGCCAATAGCAAGATTTCTTAAATTTATCGTTAGAGGCGTCATTTGTGACTGCTTGAAAATGAACTGAGTGTTTTTGTTTTCCTTTTATAGGGTTTCAGTTGCATAGTGAATAGTGTTCACCCCAAACTGTGTTGCTTTCTGGTGCGTGAATCATAAGCTTTGCTCACAAACAGAGTCTCCAACACAACTGATCAATGTTGTAACGATTACAATTACAAAAACCTACACAATTCACACCCACATGTGCAGTAAGTAAGTAAAGTAAAGGACCCTTTCCACGCCTTTAGGCATATAGGGCATATAGGGCTAGACCTAAATACACGTGCAGTGGACAGGGTAAACAACATTTAAGTCTGCTTTTCACACCCGAGTATGATTTTATTTACAAACTAATAAAAATGCACCGTCAGATAACTATGCCTTTTTTATTTGAAACAGTATAGATAATTTATGTGTTGAGTACTACTGATTCTGAATGTAATTATATGCTAACTAAAAAAAAATTATCCTTAGAAGAGACAGAGGCAGACCAAGAGAAATGATGCTGGAAAGGTTTAGAATTTTTTCTGTTTTTTTTTGTTTTGTTTACTAAAACTGTATAAGCCATCAGCCAGTGCATGCCAAACCTTCTTATCCTTTGCTGTTTCATGCAGCTCACTCCATGTCCTCCCCATCCTTTTCTCTTGTCTCAGTAATTCTCTTCCTTCTGTGTGGTTTTGATTCTTCCTTTGTTTCACGGATACAAGTGCACGGACATCCTATTTATACTACCACTAGGTTTTCTCAATGTGTCATGGATACAAGTGCACGGACATCCTGTTTATACTACCACTAGGTTTTCTCAATGTGTCATGGAAGAATGTCAACACAATTAATCCAGATCACCAGAAATCAAGAATTGAAGAGATATGAACATGCGCACCATCTGACAAACTAACAAAGCACATAACTAATACATGTACATATTAATAATCTGAGCACGCAGATTTATTCTTTGTATCAGTTTTTATTGCAGTCAGCGCTGTTGTTAAAGATGAAAACAGGTTGGTGTAAAATAGAAGTTAATCTCATTAATGAAAATGTTTACATTTCATAATAATCAGCATTGATATTTAACATCTTGCCAAATCATTACTGATAACAGTTAAATATTACCTAATCATGTGAATGTATATTTAGTATAACAAAACAAGCTCATTTGTTTCAACTAGACAAATGTTGTAATATAATAAACAAATCCCTGTACAAAAATTTACAACTGACTTTAGACATTGCACTGTGTAACATCATACATCTAAGTCAAACAATCAACACACAAATATACAACTGACTTTAGACATTGCACTGTGTAACATCATACATCTAAGTCAAACAATCAACACAAAAATATACAACTGACTTTAGACATTGCACTGTGTAACATCATACATCTAAGTCAAACAATCAACACACAAAAGTATTTGAAAAATAATACAAAACAAACCAGTATAGCAAATGCTATTATGTAAATGACTTGTTAGGAAAAATGTCAATTAAAACCTGACCCTTGACTGCAGATTGAACAAAAACAATGTTAGTATATGCATGAACAACAACAGTTTCACTTTTATGACTAATCTTTTCCATCTTTCTTTTGTAGCATCCATCACTGAGTCTCGTATGTGCGAAGCGGTTCCTCCTCATTTTCTTCGACAGCCTCCATCCAGCTACTGGCTTTTCGATAGAACTGTATAAAAATAAAACATTTTTTTCAAATCTATTGTGAGTAGCTTCAAAAGCATGATATCTATGGTAGTAATGACTTTGAGGAAAACTCTCAGTTACAGGCTAATAGTATCATTCTGCTGAGTGAGACAACAATGATGTGGCTAATAGTATCATTCTGCTGAGTGAGACAACAATTATGTGGCTAATAGTCTCATTCTGCTGAGTGAGACAACAATGATGTGGCTAATAGTCTCATTCTGCTGAGTGAGACAACAATGATTTGGCTAATAGTATCATTCTGCTAAGTGAGACAACAATGATGTGGCTAATAGTATCATTCTGCTGAGTGAGACAACAATGATGTGGCTAATAGTATCATTCTGCTGAGTGAGACAACAATGATGTGGCTAATAGTATCATTCTGCTCAGTGAGACAACAATGATGTGGCTAATAGTATCATTCTGCTGAGTGAGACAACAATGATGTGGCTAATAGTATCATTCTGCTGAGTGAGACAACAATGATGTGGCTAATAGTATCATTCTGCTGAGTGAGACAACAATGATGTGGCTAATAGTATCATTCTGCTGAGTGAGACAACAATGATGTGGCTAATAGTATCATTCTGCTGAGTGAGACAACAATGATGTGGCTAATAGTATCATTCTGCTAAGTGAGACAACAATGATTTACACAAAAAAATAGCTAACAAGACAAATAAAGAAATTATTACGCGCACTGATAGTGGTGCAGTGATTTTGTACATGTGCATGACCTTTATGCAAGACTCCTGCCACATGTCCTTGTCATGTGCTATGGATAATGGCTCACCTTTGTAATCTAAGCTGAGTTGGCAGGGAATAACCGAGTTGGTGGCTCCTAGAGATGTAATGTCCAGTCCTCAGCCCAACCCCTAATGCATGTGTGAAAATGCTTATCAAAACTCTTTTGGAACATAAGAAAAGCTGTCTAGCTGAATATACTACCAGATAACAACTCTCAGTTAAAACGTCCGTCAAGTGAAAGAGCTACTGAGCTGTTGAGACTCAGGCCTAGAGCAAGAGATTTCCTCGCAGCTTGGGTGAACACAATCTGCTGTAGGCAGTATTTTGCCTTCTGGAATATGAGAAAAAGGCAGAACTCTTTAACAGAAAAAGGCTTAGCTCTTTGAGGATGTATCGCCAATATATGGGAGCAATAATCCGCCCTGTTTTGCTATAGTGCAGATCCGCTCTCGGCATAGACACTCTGATATTGTCTCGTTTAGTAGATAAATTAACCTATATGAACATTTTTTTAAAAACTGGAACAAGCTAAAGAAAGTATTATTGTTTTCCGTGCATGGTGAATGTAGGTTTAGTATTTTATTAAATCAGTGTGATACAATTTGTGTGTGATTTTCCAGACCAAAAGGTAACGGGAAAAAGTATAGAACTGTTCATACTGCTGCTGTCATTGTGCTGTTGTCATTGTGCTGCTGTAATCGATGAATCTCAGCAAGATAGTGACAGTAGCCTTGACATGATTAAGTATGCAAGTACAGCACCTATTGTCATAAAATGGGCTAGGGTGAAGTTGATCAAAAGTTTAAGTCGGATCGTCCTTGTTTCAGTTGTGTCCAGAATTCGGCTGTTGCGAAATTTGACAAGTCCCAAAAAAAGGTCATAAAATCCAAAGTATTTAAATTAATTGTCTCATATAAAGACAGTCAGCGGCGTCTGTGGCTTAGGCGTTTCGAGTCCGACTCGTAATTCTAACGTTCCATGAAAGAAACCAACAGCTGGCTGCATCGATTTTTATTATGGTATGGGGCATCGCAGGTAGACCCAGCCTAAAATGGGTACCAGAAAAAATGCTGTCCTAAAAGAGTTAAACATCCTTGGAGCACTAAAATGAGCAATCCAGATGTTCTGAAAGAACAAAGACCTGAAAATAACTAAATATTACACTACAATACAAGCAGTCAACATGTTTTAGCTACATAAAATAAGGAAAACTGGACCACATTGTGACAACTGAAAAGATTTATGAAAAAAGATATAGAGGAATGCAACAAAAAAAAGTTCGTGCCAGTTTTTTTGTCAGCACACTTCTCTTCTTCTTATGTTCTACAGTGTACGCTGGGGGTAGGGTGGTGGGTTAGAGAAAGGTTGTGAGCCTGAGGATTTAAGGCTGCATGGCTAGTTCTGTCGCCACAGACTGTCTTCTTCTTCGCTTCCACCTTGTAAATTATCAGTGTCGGGGGTGGGGGGGGGGGTGTTACATTCATTGATGAGCTCTGTCAAGAGCACTATTAGGACTGATGTTCATTTCTGTAAGATTGCTCTTAATGCCATCACTCCAAATTTTCCTAGGTCTTCCACTCGCTCAATACCTGTTGTAATGTTTTGGTCTGGCTTGTTGTGGCAGATAGTACCAGGATAATTTTTTTAGGTGTCCAAACTACTGCATTTGTTGTTCTTTGAAGACCTGTAAGACTGGCTTTATTCCTAGCATTCCTCTGGTTTTGTGATTTCATATTCTGTCTTTCCTTGAAACTCCTGCAGCTCTTCTAAGGCATTTTATCTCTGTTGTCACAATTTTACATTCATTGGAGGATGTAAGTGTCCACGTTTGGCATTGATAGCATAGTGTTGGCCAAAAAATAGTTCTGATAAGATTCATTTCAGTACTATCTGCTTGTGTGTCAACAGGGGAGATAGTTGACCCATTACTTGATTAGCTTTGGCACATCTGGAGCTAATTTCTGTCCAGTTTTCCGTCAGATGTGAAAATTGCTCCCAAACACTTAAATTCCTCTGTCTTAAGGTGTTGTTTTTTAATTTTATTCCTAAATTGTCTTTCTGTTTTCCTATCACCATTGTCTCTGTCTTCATAGAGTTTATTTTCATACTATATTCCTCCCCTTTTGTTACTAATTTGATTTATTTGGTTCTGTAGGCATTCCGTACTTTTTGCTATGAGTACCTGGTCGTCTGCGAATAGAAATTCTGTAATATCTTCTTTATGATTAAAATTTGTTTCCTTACATATGGTATACATATATGTTATAAAAAGAAGCAGAGATAGTACACAGCCCTGACGCACACCAGTAAAAAAGGTAAAGATCCCTTTTCCCGCCTTAGGCGCATCGGGTATATGGGAAGAGCGTCCCACATTTTTACAGACCAATCGGCACTGGAGGGGTAATGTGGTCAGCATTATGCCAGCTGTCTTTACTTCCCCAGGACAGCAATCCTGGTACCCATTTTAGGGTGGGTCAACCTGCGACACCCCATACCATGATAAAAATCTATGCAGCCAGCAGTGGGTTTCGATCGCAGTACATTGGATTACGAGTCAGACTAGCAACGTCTATAAGCCACGTACGCCACACACGCACACCTGAGTTCACTATAAAAGTTATAACAATCCTGCCTTTAATCTTATGTAGCATTTACTATGTGTGTACAGGCTTTTGTAAATATTAATGAGATGATTGCTGATTTCCTTTTTCACCATACACTCCCACAGCATATTCCTGTCGACTCTATCAAAGGCTTTTTCTTTATCTGTACAGACTTTACAGGTTAGAAATTTATTTTTGCATCTGGCATAAACCTATGACCTTCTTGAGGATTCGAAACAAGGCCTCCCACATGAGACCTCAGCATTCTTAACTTTAAATGGGAATAATTAAAGACAGACTGACTGGCTGACTGAATTAAAGACAAATGAAGAAATTGCAGATGTGTGGCAGTGTTGAAGAGAGAAGCCAGAGCTAATGTGTGGCAATGTTGAAGAGAGAAGCCAGAGCTAATGTGTGGCAATGTTGAAGAGAGAAGCCAGAGTTAATGTGTGGCAGTGATAAAGAGAGAAGACAGAGCTAATGTGTGGCAGTGTTGAAGAGAAAAACCAGAGCTAATGTGTGGCAGTGATAAAGAGAGAAGTCAGAGCTAATGTGTGGCAGTGATAAAGAGAGAAGCCAGAGCTAATGTGTGGCAATGTTAAAGAGAGAAGTCAGAGCTAATGTGTGGCAATGTTAAAGAGAGAAGTCAGAGCTAATGTGTGGCAATGTTAAAGAGAGAAGCCAGAGCTAATGTGTGGCAGTGATAAAGAGAGAAGTCAGAGCTAATGTGTGGCAGTGTTGAAGAGAAAAGCCAGAGCTAATGTATGGCAGTGATAAAGAGAGAAGCCAGAGCTAATGTGTGGCAATGTTGAAGAGAGAAGCCAGAGCTAATGTGTGGCAGTGTTGAAGAGAGAAGCCAGAGCTAATGTGTGGCAATGTTGAAGAGAGAAGCCAGAGTTAATGTGTGGCAGTGATAAAGAGAGAAGACAGAGCTAATGTGTGGCAGTGTTGAAGAGAAAAGCCAGAGCTAATGTGTGGCAGTGGTAAAGAGAGAAGTCAGAGCTAATGTGTGGCAGTGTTGAAGAGAAAAGCCAGAGCTAATGTGTGGCAGTGATAAAGAGAGAAGCCAGAGCTAATGTGTGGCAATGTTGAAGAGAGAAGCCAGAGCTAATGTGTGGCAGTGTTGAAGAGAGAAACCAGAGCTAATGTGTGGCAGTGATAAAGAGAGAAGTCAGAGCTAATGTGTGGCAGTGTTGAAGAGAAAAGCCAGAGCTAATGTGTGGCAGTGATAAAGAGAGGATGTCTGAGCTAATGTGTGGCAGTGATAAAGAGAGAAGTATGAGCTAATGTGTGGCAGTGATAAAGAGAGAAGTATGAGCTAATGTGTGGCAGTGTTGAAGAGAGAAGCCAGAGCTAATGTGTGGCAGTGATAAAGAGAGAAGCCAGAGCTAATGTGTGGCAATGTTGAAGAGAGAAGCCAGAGCTAATGTGTGGCAGGGTTAAAGAGAGGGGTTGGGTGAATGTAGCAATGTTGAAGAGAGAAGCCAAAGCTAATCAATTGGATCCTATAGACTATTTTAAAAACGTTTAAAAAAAAAATCACAGGAAAGGACAAAATGATTGCAAACTCTAGGAGATGAATAAAAACTAAAATAACCAACAGTTGAAGATATAACCTATATTTTATTGAAAGTAAGCCTCTTGTGCATTGATGCAGCAAGTGACATGATCTAACAAACACTAGAATGACCTCTGTAGTTCTTATGTTGTTATAGCCCTTAAAGTTGATGTTACGACCCTTTGGATGTCATCAATATCATCAAAGAAGCCTCTTTTCAATAGCAACTTTAATTTTGGGAATAGAAAATAGCCACAGTAAGACAAATCTGGGGAATAGGGGGGACAGTTGAGAACGTGCACTTGTTTTTAGCCAAAAATTTCTGTACAACCTCTGCCCTTTGTGCCGGTGCATTATAAAGAAGAAGCAAATTGCCAGGTGTTGAATCCAAAGCAGCAAGCAACTTTTTTCTTGCCCAAATCTTCCACTAAAATTTTACGAATAGTCTCTGTATTAACACCAAATTCTTCTGCCATCATCCTCACAGTCAAACAACGATCTTGTTGTATCCGTTCTCGGAATTTTGCAATGAGTTCCTCATTACGAACAAAAATTGGGCGTCTAGGTCTAGTTGCAATAGTAACCATTTCCACACCACTTTTGAATCGTGAACACCAGCTGAAAATCTGTGCACAAGATAAACAATTATCCCCATAAACTTGTCGCATCAATTCAACTGTTGCAATAGTGCTTTTTCTGAGTTTAAAACATAATTTAATGTCAACGTTCTTTTTTGGGGGGGGGGGGGGGGGGGGGGGGGGGGCTCCATGCTGATTATGTAACAATTCCCTTCTGATTAGCTTAACAAAATGGCATCTTTTTTGTTGTCCGCTTATCGGGCGAAGATTAAAAGTTGCCAGATTATAGACGAAGCTTGCCTCTTTGAATTCCGTGCTGTAAATCATAAATGGCACTTTTGTCTTAGCCATAAAAAAATCAGTCTCATTACTTAATTGTCAGGCCTTGTATTAATGGTTACAGGGAATCATGGTAGCACAGTATTAGCTCACAGCCATTTCAGTCTGCTGGTCTTGAGTTTGAATTCAGCAGATTCTAAACCAGATACAATATGTTGGATGTCTACTTACATGAATGGTCTACAATATGTTGGATGTCTACTTACATGAATGTTCTACAATATGTTGGATGTCTACTTACATGAATGGTCTACGATATGTTGGATGTCTACTTACATGAATGGTCTAAGATATGTTGGATGTCTACTTACATGAATGGTCTACAATGTGTTGGATGTCTACTTACATGAATGGTCTGCAATATGTTGGATGTCTACTTACATGAATGGTCTACGATATGTTGGATGTCTACTTACATGAATGGTCTACAATATGTTGGATGTCTACTTACATGAATGGTCTGCAATATGTTGGATGTCTACTTACATGAATGGTCTACGATATGTTGGATGTCTACTTACATGAATGTTCTACAATATGTTGGATGTCTACTTACATGAATGGTCTGCAATATGTTGGATGTCTACTTACATGAATGGTCTACGATATGTTGGATGTCTACTTACATGAATGGTCTACGATATGTTGGATGTCTACTTACATGAATGGTCTACGATATGTTGGATGTCTACTTACATGAATGGTCTACAATATGTTGGATGTCTACTTACATGAATGGTCTGCAATATGTTGGATGTCTACTTACATGAATGGTCTACGATATGTTGGATGTCTACTTACATGAATGTTCTACAATATGTTGGATGTCTACTTACATGAATGGTCTGCAATATGTTGGATGTCTACTTACATGAATGGTCTACGATATGTTGGATGTCTACTTACATAAATGGTCTACGATATGTTGGATGTCTACTTACATGAATGGTCTACAATATGTTGGATGTCTACTTACATGAATGTTCTACAATATGTTGGATGTCTACTTACATGAATGTTCTACAATATGTTGGATGTCTACTTACATGAATGTTCTACAATATGTTGGATGTCTACTTACATGAATGTCATTGACCTCTTTGTAGAATCTCTGTGTCAGGTTGCTGGGGTCATCTGAGGCTGGTATGTTCAGTTCCTGCCCCTTGTACAATATCCTGTTCACTGGGCAGACAATGCAAGCTGTGCCAGCACCAAATACTTCTTGAACCTGTTTCAGATCCAATACACAAATAAGACAAGAGACCAAGCAAGAAAATGTATCAAATTTTATAAGAAAGCGACATTGGAATTACATCGGCCATACAATCAGAATGAATCAGTCAATACTCCCCGCCCCCATCAAGCCCTCATATGGACTTCTCACTCTCCATTCCCCGCTGTTTTCATCTTTGATGGGTTTAAAGATTTGTCGTAAGACTCTGTTTTCAAAAACGTTAATAAGGCTTCATCTCTTTTAGTTGTGCTCCAAGTTTCTGAGCCATATAAAAACACTGGTCTTATCAACGTTTTATATTTTTGATCTTGGTGTTGTGAAACAGACACTTTGACTTTAGCAGATGTTGAAGGGCGCTTTAACATTCCAGGCTTGTTTTCTGTTTAAATCCATCCAAAATCGAGGCTTAGATATCTGTTTCGTGACTAGCATTCACCTCTTTCAAAATATCTGGGTTGCTCTTCCTAGCTGTCCAAGGAATTTTAAGGATTCTTCTGTAAAACCACGTCTCTGAGGTCTCAAGATATTGTTCGGCTTGTTTACTAATTGTTAAGGCTTCACAGCTATATGTTAAAACTGGCTCTATATAGCATGCGAGAATTCTTTTTCTAATGGCCGATGACATGAATTTATTGCACAAAATATTCTTAATTTTGTAAAATGCAGTTTTGGCCTGTCCTAATCTGTTCTTTATCTCTGTGATACATCTTCCATCGGATGTTATCCATGTGCCTAGATACTCACCTTTGTGTACTTGTCCTAGAATAATGCCTATGACCTTTATAATAAATTTAGGCACTATTCTTGGAAACCACCATTACTTCTGTCTTTGCATTATTCAAACTAACGCCCATTTTATAACTTTCTACTACCACCATATCTATTAATTCCTGTAGTTCTTTCTCACTTGTCACTTCCACAATTGGCTATGTTCATACCATGCCTCTGAATTACTTGTCTTTTCCTTCTGTGATCCCACTGAAACAGCCTGAATGTTCCTGGTTATTGTGGTTTTCTTTAATCAATCTCTTCTCATAATCTGAATAAAGGACAATCAAATTTTCCCCCTTGTTCTGTGAATGTTTTGGTGACATACATAGTTACCAGTCCTCTTAACCAATGGGATTCCAGCAGTCTTAATAGAACTACACCTCTACTAAAATGAACACAGCAAAAATGCCACTAAACATAAACTACTCAGATCAAATCTATTGCATACCCAAAACAAACCACACACACACACACACACACAAATCTGAAGAAAACATGCACAATGATGCTGGTAGCAGAAAGATGGCCACTGTAAATGTATTTCCAGAGTGAGGCCATGAAAAATGTATAGATAGTAAACTTCAATGGTAAACAAACATGGAAATTATGCAATAAAGACACAAGCAAAAGCTCCATCACTTGCCTCTTGTTTCACACATACACACTACACATACACACTACACACACACATACACACACACTACACACACACACACATACACACTACACACATACACTACACACACACACATACACACTACACACATACACACTACACACACTACACATACATACACACTACACACACTACACATACATACACACTACACACACTACACACACACTACACATACACACTACACACATACACTACACACTACACATACACACTACACATACACACTACACATACACGCTACACACATACACTACACACACACACACACTACACATACACACTACACATACACACTACACACATACACTACACACACACACACTACACATACACACTACACACATACACTACACACACACACACACTACACATACACACTACACATACACACTACACACATACACTACACACACACACACTACACATACACACTACACATACACACTACACACATACACTACACACACACACACACACTACACATACACACTACACACATACACTACACACACACACACACTACACATACACACTACACACATACACTACACATACACACTACACACATACACTACACATACACACTACACACTAGACATAGAGAAACGTGTGGATTAAAACCAGAGACACGATCACTCTGGGGCTAGACTTTAGAGAGTGTTTTAACAAGGCAGGAAGGACTTTCAGCAGAGATAATTATCTTCTTCCCCCTCCCTCCCTCCTCTTTCTATCTCTCTCACCAGGTAGCAGGTCCTTTGAAGAAGGTCACTATCATCACGGTCGCATGAAAGAAACTCGGTCTCAAGTCAGATCTCCAGCCTCGTGCACTTTCATATTCGAGGACTCACTTACTTGTACCCATCTTCATGCTGGCTGGCCTTGCCCTTCTTTCCTGGTGCCATGACTTCTGCTTTTATTCTTTCCATCCACCATGACGCCTGATATGGCCAGATTATTTCAGTTCCGGGTCAAGTTGCTGTTTACTGGCCAAACTTCCTTGATGCTCAGATTTTTTAGGAAGTATTCTTTTTTGTGTGTGGGTCTACTTGGTCCATGGTATTATGAGAGTCTTTCTATAGCATTTTAGCCCAAAAGCTTCTGTTTCTTCCTTAATGACTGTGAGGTAGTCCACGACTCACATCCGCATGTTGCTACAGGCAAGATACATGCTCTCATAATTTTGACTTCCTATGATTTCCTTGCTGGTGCTTAGCCATAGACTTTTAATACTGTCTAATCTTTGTATTGTTATGGCTGTCCTCCTTTTTGCTTCTATTAAACAGTCCCCATAGCTGATTATTATGGAGGTTAGATACTCAAAGATTGTGACATTTTTCAATTTATTCATCATTTATTGTTAATTTTGTCTCTAGAAATTATGTTTGTTTTCTTATAATTCAGGAACAGCTTTTGATCTTCACTGTGTTTTTGGGCAGACACAATACAGTGTTCTATATTCTGTTACATTTTGTGAAGAGAGGACTGTGTCATCTGTATGGCTATACTGTTCTGGAACAGGGTTGCTGCCAGTTATGAACAGATCATAAGTGTCAAAAGTCTGGTTATTTGTAACCTTTCTGATTATGCTTTCTACATGTATGTTGAACAGGATGGGTGCACCCCTGGCTCAATTCCTCTTGCACCTCAAACAATATAAATGTATCAAATGTAAGGAAATACTTCTCATGCTATTCCACAATTTGTTATGTTAGACACACTCAAAGGCCTGGCTATAATCAATAGGACAAGCATGGAGAACTTTGTTGTATTCTCTTAATTTTATTATTTTATCAATTTTTTTATTCTCATTTTTAAAAAGTGATCCTAGTTCTTCTGCCATGTCTAAATTCTGCCCATGTTTTGTTTGGCTCATCTTGTAATTTCTTGTCAAACCTTTTCATGACAATTTGTAAGAAGATCTTGCTAGCATAACTGATTAGTGTGATGGTATGATAGTTGGTGCATAGTTTCACATTTTCTTTGTTTGAGAACAGAAAAATGAATAGTTCTTTTCCACATTTAAGGCCACACGTCACTATTCCAGATGTTTGCATGTAGTGCAGTTTTGCTGGTATTTCGTTGCACCCTGGTGACTTCCCTTTCATCAGACTTTACTATTGATTGTACTTCCTCCACTAAAGGCTCTTCTTTTTCATGTTCACGTTCATAAGCTGTTTCTGAATTACTTGCTGAATTCTTTTAAATTTCCATACAGTGCTCGTTCCATCGTTCCAATATATTATTGCGTTCTGATAAGGTGTTACCATTTTTTATGACAGGCTGAATTCACCTTTTAATGTTCTGATTATTTTAAACATCTCAGCCCAAACTGTGACACTTTGAAAATAAAGTTTGCTCATTCCTTCATTCTCTCTTTACTTCTTTCTGGGTACTTTGTGCATTTGATTCCTTACTACGAGAGAGGACAGAGTAAGAAAGTTACTTGAGTGGGTTACTTAAGAGGACAACAGGTTTCACCAAAACCAGGTTTGGAAAAAAAACCAGACTCTTTACTACTGAATGAGCTGAAATTAAAAAAAGAAATTTGTTATAAATGAATCCATTAACTAAAAGTGATATGAAATGAGAGAGGAGGAGGCCAGAGATAGATGATCAAATGTGACTGACCCGGCCTTCATTTAATGCCTTGACAAACCTGGCCATTGTGATGACTTGCTCTGAGACTTTGAATTCATTCTGTGAAAATACAATTTATATCATAAATGTACTCAAGGTCGACAAAAGTAACAAAGTTAATTAACCACGTGCTAATAGCAAAATGATTTGCTTTTATTTTATTAAAAACTGTTGAGGTCTCCATGGTAAAATAGTAAAACAGTGGTCAAGCCATTTGCCTAATGCCGTGAAGACTGATTCATTTTTAGATTAGATCCCCTTAGTTCATTGGTTGAAAGTCAATCACTTTAGGGAGATTAGTTAAATACCTGGTGCAGTGAAGTCAATTACAATAAGGAGATTAAATGAATACTTGGTGCAGTGAAGTCAATCACTTTAAGGAGATTAATGAAATACCTGGTGCAATGAAGTCAATCACTTTAGGGAGATTAGTTAAATACGTGGTGCCGTGAAGTCAATCACTATAGGGAGATTAGTTAAATACCTGGTGCAGTGAAGTCAATCACTTTAGGGAGATTAAATGAATACTTGGTGCAGTGAAGTCAATCACTTTAGGGAGATTAATGAAATACCTGGTGCAATGAAGTAAATCACTTTAGGGAGATAAATTAAATACGTGGTGCAGTGAAGTCAATTACTTTAGGGAGATTAAATGAATACTTGGTGCAATGAAGTCAATTACTTTAGGGAGATTAATTAAATACTTGGTGCAATGAAGTCAATTACTTTAGGGAGATTAATGAAATACGTGATGCAGTGAAGTCAATCACTTTAGGGAGATTAATGAAATACCTGGTGCAGTGAAGTCAATTACTTTAGGGAGATTAATGAAATACCTGGTCTTCCTTATCCCTTTTAACATTAGTTTAATGTTACACTTGAAGCACCTGTTTACAATATGCTGTGCTGTTTGCAATCTTTTTTACAATCCATTTCCTGTCATTATAGTACAATTTATTTTTTTGAAAACAATGTTTTCACATAGAGAATTTTAAATAATGTGGACATGACAACACAATGTACAATTCCGTGTATCTCATCAGGTGTCTTCATACAGAGTGACATTAACATATAAGAAAGCACATAACACTCACACATAATAATGTCTTCTCTAGTCCCGCTGTACCTCTCACCACTAGAAGTTCAAGACAGCCACAAGGTCATTATGGATTTGTGTATTTATCACACTCTTTTTGCTTGTACAGCAATGGAGTGTTTAATTTAATTATCACTACTTTTACCAATTTCTTTAACTACCTGTTTGGTAAATAAGTGCAAGGAAGGCACAATCCCTATCAGTTGCATGCCCAGAGTCAAGCAGATGATACCAGTTGCATGCCCAGAGTCAAGCAGATGATACCACTTGCATGCCCAGAGTCAAGCAGATGATATCAGTTGCATGCCCAGAGTCAAGCAGATGATATCAGTTGCATGCCCAGAGTCAAGCAGATGATACCAGTTGCATGCCCAGAGTCAAGCAGATGATACCAGTTGCATGCCCAGAGTCAAGCAGATGATACCAGTTGCATGCCCAGAGTCAAGCAGATGATATCCTATTGAAGAACTTGGTTCTTTCATCTTGGTTAGTCTTGACACACTTGTGGGATCTCCACCCAGGTGTGTGTGGAGCCATTTAGGGACATGTCCTATTAGGCTGTTACCACACCCAGGTGTGTGTGGAGCCATTTAGGGACATGTCCTAATAGGCTGTAACCACACCCAGGTGTGTGTGGAGCCATTTAGGGATATGTCCTATTAGTCTGTTACCACACCCAGGTGTGTGTGGAGCCATTTAAGGATATGTCCTATTAGTCTGTTACCACACCCAGGTGTTTGTGGAGCCATTTAGGGATATGTCCTATTAGTCTGTTACCACACCCAGGTGTGTGTGGAGCCATTTAAGGATATGTCCTATTAGTCTGTTACCACACCCAGGTGTGTGTGCAGCCATTTAGGGATATGTCCTATTAGTCTGTTACCACACCCAGGTGTGTGTGGAGCCATTTAAGGATATGTCCTATTAGTCTGTTACCACACCCAGGTGTGCATGGAGCCATTTAGGGATATGTCCTATTAGTCTGTTACCACACCCAGGTGTGTGTGGAGCCATTTAAGGATATGTCCTATTAGTCTGTTACCACACCCAGGTGTGTGTGGAGCCATTTAGGGATATGTCCTATTAGTCTGTTACCACACCCAGGTGTGTGTGGAGCCATTTAGGGATATGTCCTATTAGTCTGTTACCACACCCAGGTGTGTGTGGAGCCATTTAGGGATATGTCCTATTAGTCTGTTACCACACCCAGGTGTGTGGAGCCATTTAGGGATATGTCCTATTAGTCTGTTACCACACCCAGGTGTTTGTGGAGCCATTTAGGGATATGTCCTATTAGTCTGTTACCACACCCAGGTGTGTGTGGAGCCATTTAGGGATATGTCCTATTAGTCTGTTACCACACCCAGGTGTGTGGAGCCATTTAGGGATATGTCCTATTAGTCTGTTACCACACCCAGGTGTTTGTGGAGCCATTTAGGGATATGTCCTATTAGTCTGTTACCACACCCAGGTGTGTGTGGAGCCATTTAGGGATATGTCCTATTAGTCTGTTACCACACCCAGGTGTGTGTGGAGCCATTAAGGGATATGTCCTATTAGTCTGTTACCACACCCAGGTGTGTGTGGAGCCATTTAGGGATATGTCCTATTAGTCTGTTACCAAGGACCAACTAAAAATATGCATTGTATTGTTGGTATTTACATTATTTACGGTATTTTTCCATGTATGAGACGTCCTCATGTATAAGGCATTCATTAATTTTTAAGCCCCATATTAATAAATACATATTTTAAACATCAAACAGAACAACGTTGCCTATATATTTAGCTCTGTAATTATGGTCGGTGACATTTGTTAATTTTCTGTGTGTGCTAGTCAGCATTACTATAACCTGCAGTGTAAGAACAACCACAGGGCTGGCAAAGATTATTATGTCCTACATAACTATGCCTGTGTGTTGCACTGTTGTCTCTATATTCATGGTATGTATGGTATGTACTCCACGAGTGCCGGCAGATTCCAATAATGCTGCTAGAGGAGCTGTGACTGCCAGAGCTGCCTGCCTGAGTTCCATGTGGGTTGAGGATAGTGCTGGGAGGATGGAAGGGGGGGGGGGGGGGGGGGGGGGGGAACGGACCCAGGGGGATCTGGGTAACCAAGGGAAGCAACTAAGAGTACCAGGTTAAAAAATAAATGTCTAGAATGGGAGTTGCTGGATGTAATTATTTGTATATTTTTTGCAATATTCCACGGATAAGAGATGCCTAGTTTTAAACTGACAAAATATGGAAATACACATTGTCTTGTACACAGAAATATATGGTACATATTTTTTTTTGTTACTAGGTTCCCAAAATATTCATTTGTGCATTGACTATTTGTTGAAGATTATTTATAAATCTAGTTCGTTCACAAATTCTGTCTGAAAATTTGAAACTATATCCTTGCTAAAATTATTTACAAAAAAAAAAAAAAATCTTAAAGAAAAGGACAAGAAAATTAATGCAAAATATTATACAAAAACAAACTGACCCACTGTCTGGACAGCTCAAGTAAAGACTTGCGTGTAATGCCTGGAAGAATCAGCCCACTATCTAATGGTGGAGTTATCAACTCTTTCTCTGGAAAAAGACAATATTTAACACAATAATGAAGCATATGTGTTCCAAATCAAATTTTTAATGTAAAACATTGCAGAATATAGTATCTGTAAGAATTAACAACCATTAGGAACACTTCAGAGCATAATGATAGGGATCAAACAAGGAAGTGAACTATCCCCTGACTTTTTTATTAAAATAGTCAAATTTTGTGACTGAGATGTTGCAAACATGGTTTGTAATTCAGTAATACCAATGTTGATTCCAACCAATGGCAATATGGCAGCTGACCGCTTTGTGCTAATTTTGATAAATGTTTCAAGATCGAATATTCAGTAAATATTGGCAAACTACTGAATGGAAAATCGCCAAGCAAAACAACAAAGAGCTGACAACTAATGGGCTTGGTTTGCAATATCCTCTAAGGAAAAGCCATTACTTTTTTGTTATTGTCAACAATGGAAAATATAAGCTCTCTAGAGGATACGCTGAATGTCAGTGTGGGGGGTCATAATTATAAAACAAAGGATTTGTAGAATAAATTCACGTTATGCTGATAACAGTCCTAATAATAATAACATTTGCTATAGACCATAACATAAACAGAGACTGTAGAAAGAAAAAACTGACTGCTTGAAAAATTAGAAGACAGAAGCAATATTAGTATTGCCTAAATGCACAATTAATGTCAGTGAAGTGAATTTATGTACAATTACAGAAACATCCAGGATATTACAGAAAGAAGTATCACAAAGATAGAGGACAAAACACAACAAGCAAAGACTGCAACTGAAAAGAAAGAACAGTTTGTGCAAATAAATCCCTGCCACTGGAGATTAGCACTAGAATATGATCATGCTACTCAGAACCAGTTTTTAAAAAATGACTCTGAATCAAGGACAGCTGGTAAACAAGCTGGGTAAATCTGTTTCACTTCTGAGATGTGGTTTTTAAGTGCTTAAAATTCCTTGAACACCAAAATGATTTTTCTAGATGGTTTGAAGGAGGCTGAAACCAAAAGACAACTAACTTATCACAAACACCTGAAAGGGGCAGTCACCATTTCTGGCAACATTATAAGAAAAGAAAAAAAAGAAGGACAGGGGAAGACAACAAGCAAATATTCTTGTCAATCTTGTGTCGTGGCACTGAAGAGTGTCAGTTCAGCAACGATGTGGAGAAGCATGAGCACTGAAACACCTGATCCTGTTGTTTGTTTTTGTATTTATTAAACAGGGGCATAGATGCTGCTTATTTTGATGCAAATGATCTACATTTTATAGCTGAAAAATATTTGCAAAATGAATGAATACAAAATATTACTTTAAAGGTGGTTGATCAAAGAAAGGCACACACAGATAAAAGCAAAATGTGTGACCAGTGTCTTTGTTTTTCCACAAACATAAAATGGATATTCGGAAAAGAAGTGAAATTATCTAATACAATAGGAATAGCATAACTTTACATTAAGTATTCTTGTTTCTGTTTGTGTGTGTGTGCTCGCATGCATGCTCGCATTCGAGCACACTTGAGCATGCATGCTCGCATGCGTGCTCATATGCATATTTTTATAACTGAAAAAAAAAAGACTAGTTGAAATTATCAATTTTATCCTGACCTGCCTTGAACTGACAATATTCTACTCTGATTGATTCATGACATTTGCTTGAAGGTAGTCTCCCCTGTGTGATACTATTTAAAATAAGACTGTTACAGAAATCAGCAGTTACCTCCACTTTCATTGATCCAGTACACAAACAGGTTCATAGTTCCAACCTCAGTCATCTGATGATCATCACCGAACAACCACAACACCTGCTGGCAGTTGTATTTTTTCACAGCTATCTCCTGAATTTTAATCGTTGGTGCATAGTTGCTGTCAATTTTCATCAGAGAAACAAAATTCAGAAAATGAAACAAAACACACAGAGTAAAATAAAGAAATGTTTCAACCTTAGGAAAAAAATTTTTTTTATTGCTGCTGATTTCAACCAGAAACTGATTTTTCAGGTGTCCCGTTGGTACTCCATACCCCCCCCAATGACAACTGTCCCATTTTATAATAAACCTAGGAATTTGCTCAAGAACATAACATACATTTATAGTAGACTGTAAAATATTTCAGTTTTAAAATGCCTGATAAGTTTTCATAAGATTTTTTTGGGGGCATGTTTTTGCAGGGCAATTAAAGATAATATTGTTTCATTTATTTCTTGTTTTGGTGGGCTGTGAAACATTAAACCCTGTTTTGGTGGGCTGCGAAACATTAAACCCTGTTTTGGTGGGCTGTGAAACAATAAACCCTGTTTTGGTGGGCTGTGAAACAATAAACCCTGTTTTGATGGGCTGTGAAACAATAAACCCTGTTTTGGTGGGTTGTGAAACAATAAACCCTGTTTTGGTGGGCTGTGAAACAATAAACCCTGTTTTGGTGGGCTGTGAAACAATAAACCCTGTTTTGGTAGGCTATGAAACAATAAACCCTATTTTGGCGGCCTGTGAAACATTAAACACTGTTTTGGTGGGCTGTGAAACAATAAACCCTGTTTTGGTGGGCTGTGAAACAATAAACCTTGTTTTGGTGGGCTGTGAAACAATAAACCCTGTTTTGGTGGGCTGTGAAACATTAAATCCTATTTTGGTGGGCTGTGAAACAATAAACCCTGTTTTTGGTGGGCTGTGAAACAATAAACCCTGTTTTTGGTGGGCTGTGAAACAATAAACCCTGTTTTGATGGGCTGTGAAACAATAAACCCTGTTTTGATGGGCTGTGAAACAATAGACCCTGTTTTGGTGGGTTGTGAAACAATAAACCCTGTTTTGGTGGGTTGTGAAACAATAAACCCTGTTTTGGTGGGCTGTGAAACAATAAACCCTGTTTTGGTGGGCTGTGAAACAATAAACCCTGTTTTGATGGGTTGTGAAACAATAAACCCTGTTTTGGTGGGCTGTGAAACAATAAACCCTGTTTTGATGGGTTGTGAAACAATAAACCCTGTTTTGGTGGGTTGTGAAACAATAAACAACATCTTGTTGTTAATGACATAATCGTTTAATAAAAATGGATTCAATATGCTGTGTTCCCCGAATCTATCACGATATTCCAGAATTTTCATTGTACTGAGCATTTCTCATTGATGATATTCATATTTAACAGATGGTTGTTGTTGACTTACTAATGTAACATTACAAGCTAGCAGGACTTACTAATGTTACATGACAAGCTAGCAGGACTTACTAATGTTACATGACAAGCTAGCAGGACTTACTAATGTTACATGACAAGCTAGCAGGACTTACTAATGTTACATGGCAAGCTAGCAGGACTTACTAATGTTACATGACAAGCTAGCAGGACTTACTAATGTTACATGACAAGCTAGCAGGACTTACTAATGTAACATGACAAGCTAGCAGGACTTACTAATGTTACATGACAAACTAGCAGGACTTACTAATGTAACATTACAAGCTAGCAGGACTTACTAATGTTACATGACAAGCTAGCAGGACTTACTAATGTTACATGACAAGCTAGCAGGACTTACTAATGTTACATGGCAAGCTAGCAGGACTTACTAATGTTACATGACAAGCTAGCAGGACTTACTAATGTTACATGACAAGCTAGCAGGACTTACTAATGTAACATGACAAGCTAGCAGGACTTACTAATGTTACATGACAAACTAGCAGGACTTACTAATGTAACATTACAAGCTAGCAGGACTTACTAATGTTACATGACAAGCTAGCAGGACTTACTAATGTTACATTACAAGCTAGCAGGACTTACTAATGTTACATTACAAACTAGCAGGACTTACTAATGTAACATTACAAGCTAGCAGGACTTACTAATGTTACATGACAAGCTAGCAGGACTTACTAATGTAACATTACAAGCTAGCAGGACTTACTAATGTTACATGACAAGCTAGCAGGACTTACTAATGTAACATGACAAGCTAGCAGGACTTACTAATGTTACATGACAAACTAGCAGGACTTACTAATGTAACATTACAAGCTAGCAGGACTTACTAATGTTACATGACAAGCTAGCAGGACTTACTAATGTTACATGACAAGCTAGCAGGACTTACTAATGTTACATGACAAGCTAGCAGGACTTACTAATGTTACATGACAAGCTAGCAGGACTTACTAATGTTACATGACAAGCTAGCAGGACTTACTAATGTAACATTACAAGCTAGCAGGACTGACTAATGTTACATGACAAGCTAGCAGGACTTACTAATGTAACATGACAAGCTAGCTGGACTTACTAATGTAACATGACAAGCTAGCAGGACTGACTAATGTTACATGACAAGCTAGCAGGACTGACTAATGTTACATGACAAGCTAGCAGGACTTACTAATGTTACATGACAAGCTAGCAGGACTTACTAATGTTACATGACAAACTAGCAGGACTTACTAATGTAACATTACAAGCTAGCAGGACTTACTAATGTTACATGACAAGCTAGCAGGACTTACTAATGTTACATGACAAGCTAGCAGGACTTACTAATGTAACATTACAAGCTAGCAGGACTGACTAATGTTACATGACAAGCTAGCAGGACTTACTAATGTAACATGACAAGCTAGCTGGACTTACTAATGTAACATGACAAGCTAGCAGGACTGACTAATGTTACATGACAAGCTAGCAGGACTGACTAATGTTACATGACAAGCTAGCAGGACTTACTAATGTTACATGACAAGCTAGCAGGACTTACTAATGTTACATAAAAAGCTAGCAGGACTTACTAATGTTACATGACAAGCTAGCAGGACTTACTAATGTTACATGACAAGCTAGCAGTACTTACTAATGTAACATGACAAGCTAGCAGGACTTACTAATGTTACATGACAAGCTAGCAGGACTTACTAATTTTATATGACAAACTAGCAGGACTTACTAATGTTACATGACAAGCTAGCAGGACTTACTAATGTTACATTACAAGCTAGCAGGACTTACTAATGTTACATGACAAGCTAGCAGGACTTACTAATGTTACATGACAAGCTAGCAGGACTTACTAATGTTACATGACAAGCTAGCAGGACTTACTAATGTTACATTACAAGCTAGCAGGACTTACTAATGTTACATTACAAGCTAGCAGGACTTACTAATGTTACATTACAAGCTAGCCGGACTTACTAATGTTACATTACAAGCTAGCAATACTTACTAATGTTACATGACAAGCTAGCAATACTTACTAATGTTACATGACAAGCTAGCAGGACTTACTAATGTTACATGACAAGCTAGCAGGACTTACTAATGTTATATGACAAACTAGCAGGACTTACTAATGTTACATGACAAGCTAGCAGGACTTACTAATGTTACATTACAAGCTAGCAGGACTTACTAATGTCATATGACAAGCTAGCAGGACTGACTAATGTTACATGACAAGCTAGCAGGACTTACTAATGTTACATTACAATATTGTCTTTAGTTATTTGTTGTATGTGACACCTGGCATTATCTTTAATGATTTCCTCTGTATAGTAAGAATTGACATCACAACACTCAGGGCAAATCCCTGACAAATCCAAGACACACAAACAACAGTATAACACACAATAATATTAGTTATAATAATATGCTGTCCAGTGTGGGTTAATGTTTTATTATGACATAACAATGTAGTGGTAAAAACAGCATTTAGGCCTACAGCACAATATAAAGTTAATGTTTTGAGAATATGATTCTTTTTGTTGCAACAAAAAGATTTAATTCATGGACTACTTCACAGTCACTTTGTGACAGTTGCTGAATGTATAGGTTTGTCCACACACTTTGTGACAGTTGATAAATGTATAGGTTTGTCCACACACTTTGTGACAGTTGCTGAATGTATAGGTTTGTCCACACACTTTGTGACAGTTGCTGAATGTATAGGTTTGTCCACACACTTTGTGACAGTTGATAAATGTATAGGTTTGTCCACACACTTTGTGACAGTTGATAAATGTATAGGTTTGTCCACACACTTTGTGACAGTTGCTGAATGTATAGGTTTGTCCACAATACTTTGATGTCAATTCTTTTTTATTTTTAACTTGCATGACAAGAATCAAAATTGTGATTACCTTCCCATCTTAAACATGCCACAGCCGCCTGGCCAGGCACGGACATAAGCTGGGTCAGCCAGGAGACTGACAGGCTTCATTCCAGTAGGGAAATAAGGTCCTACAGGTCCAATGATCACAAACAGTTTAGCTTGGTTTGAATATGAGACACCTAATGTTGGCTGCAGAAGAAACAACATCAAGAGAATGTATCACATAATACAGAGAACATGTCATGTAATGAAGAAAGAATCTTTAATGCAATAGCAGACACAATGACAGAAAAATTACTAAGTAATTTATTCAATGTACAAGAGTAACTAACAATGATTGTTTGAAAGAAGCTAATGAAAGTAGATCTCTACATATAACAATAACAAAGAGACAAACACTGTTCTTTGGCCACACAATGAGAAGAGAGACACCGGAGAACATCCTGACAACTGGAAAGGTCATTGGAAAAAGGGGTAGAGGCAGACCAATGAGAAATGATGCTGGATATGCTAAAACGATGGCATGGAGGAATATCATAAGAAAGCTGTTCCAGGCAACCAGGGATCGTGATCTGTGGAGATGCATGAGCGCCAGTTGGCAGAGCACATGATGATGATGACAACTCATGCACATTTAAATTATTTACTATGTAATGAGCATGATAATAATCTTCTTCTTCTTTCCCTTTACTCCTCCTCCTCTTCCTTCTTCCCACTTGCTGTCTAAAAGAAAGTTGAAAGTCCTGCAAGCTACCAAACAGCTTCATCTGACACTACACATCCTTGAAGACCATTTTGTGTATTCTATTGTCACTGTGCCGAAGTTGCAAGGATATTCATTCAGTACCAGTGGACAGGATTGCAATATAGTCTACTTGACCAATTGAAATCTAATTATGTAAGCTCTTCGGTGAATGCAGTATGGTTTTTTGTTGTATTATAATGTTTATTTACTCTATTTTTATTGCATTTTTAGTTTAAGATTAGGTTTAGCTTTATTGCAAGGACATTGAGATGCCAAGAAGTTTATATTTCTTTCCTTTTTATTTCTTTAAACTAATATGTCTGCTTTTTAAATGCCTCTTATTTGTAAGACATAAGCTGTTTTATTATCCTGTTCTTCTTCTTCTTAGCGTTCATTGGCTGTGAACTCCACCAGAAAGTTCTGGTTGTTTGTCCACTTTTGGACTTTGGCCTTGTTCCAGATCTTGAAATGTTGCATCTGCATCAATTTCACAGAACTGGCTTATTTGTATGCACAAGAAATTAATCCACTGAGCTGTGACTAAGAAACTTAATGAAAAAGGGAGAGAACAATGTAAACACAACTGGGCTCTAAAGCCCTATTTTCTAGTCAAAAATATGCTCGGAACATATCTGTTCCTTTCTTAACATGCTCTGTGAGTTGATTATAATTACGAAATGTGGGTACAGCTGATTCTCAAGCCAGCAGACGGCTGTAGTGACTGCCTTCACCTCCATTCTCAAACTAGATGTGGTGTCATATGTCAGGTTTTGTTGCACTAAGTGACATCCATTTTCTTTTGCTAACAACCCCCAAAAACTTCATCTGCCTCTCAACAGAGAGCCATCTGTTTAGATATCCACATCACCCGAGTGAGAATCATTAGATGAACTTCTGATTCTGCAGTACAAGCTGGCCAGTCCCTTCACTCATGACTTAAAGTGATAAGGACCCTTCACAAGTCTGACAAACTTGCTAGGACATTTTGGCCCACTCCTCTGCTCACTTAAATTTGACAAGTCTGCACACATGTGTCTTCAGCTTGTGCCATCCAAGACCTTCCTATTTCAATCTGTGACCATTAGCTTTGTCTATGGCTTCATTCAGGAGGTATTTCCTGTCTGCAGCTACTTTGAGATATGACTTTGCTTACAGAACTTTGAGCCTTTCTGCAATAGTAGGCAGTGTAAATATAAATTGTATGCATACTACCAGGAGATCTCTTGTACACCCTCATGGTTTCATTATATATATATTCTCATTTTTATTCTGTGAATTTGATACCATATGCATTCCAAGTCCATAATATTTTACCAAGAGGATTGAATGCTGGTAAATTGTAAACAGCATTCTTTGTCTCTTGCTACCACAACCATAACTGTGCAATAAGTGTTTTTCATTTTTTGGCATTTTATCTCCACTTTCTCAACAATCCCTGAAGGACAGGCTTCTATCGAAGTGATACCCAAGTACCCCAGTTTGCTTTCCCTTTCGATGTTTTTATCATTAATTGTGAAATCTGGCACATCAGCTCTTACAGTTCAAATGTCCAGGAAGCACCATAAAATAGCTGTCTATTCTGGCTTGATGACAGCACCAAATATCACACACCAGTCAGATACTTTGTCCATAGTTGCCCGTAGTTCTTGGGTTGTCTGTTGCCTACTGTTCCCCTGCCTATATGCAGCAACATCATCTCCAAATGACAGTATCCTTCCAGCCCCTGATGCTTCAAGTTCTGCAATTATGCTTGTATACACATTGAAGAGCATTGATGAAATTGTAGAATCCATTATTTTATAACAATGTTTTTTGAATATAAATATATAATATGTATATATAAAATTTACTGCCACTGTCCAATGATGACTCTTTCTTACTCCATCTTCTACTTCTTCTGCTTTATTCTGAGCACTTTGAAGTTCATTGCTGCAGTTATCACCCATCTCTTCTTAAATTTTTCAAGTACAAAAAGTGTTTTGATAGTTAAATGTTAAACATTTGTAAGTTACTTCTCAAAGTTAACCCCCTCTAAACTCCAGCGGAAAGTTCTGGGTGTTCATCCAGTTCTGGAATTTGGTCTTGTTCCAGAACTTGAGTTTTGCGTGCACAATCATTTTACATCTCTGGCTTATTTGTATGCAGACAGCTAGTTCCTTACCTTTCAAGTAGATGCACTCCAGCTTCAAAGGAAGTCAGTTATTTAGATCAAATACACATTTCAGTTATTTTGAAATGAATCCCCCAAAAATAATTTGAATAGAAGGGTTAAAGCTGCAGTATGTTCAGTATATCCTACAGATGTAGGACTGGTGCATTTTAAGAATAAGCATTATGTGTAGTGATGATTCAGAAAAAAAGAATTAGTTAAATGGAAGGTAAGCATGACTTTCAGTCAGGAAAATCTAAACTAAACTTGAGACCAAAAATATTTAATACAAATTAGTTTTTAAAAAATTAGTTGCGTATCCTTTACAGGACATTGCAGAACCAACCCCAGCATTTTTTTGGGCTTTTGTAGTTTCTCTGAACAAATTTTACATTCAGAAGTTTGCCATTGCTTTTGAACGATCAGCTCTTGATACCACTGTCAAAACTAATACAAGACAAATCATCCGCAGCTGGGATCGAATCCGGCATGACGAAGCTCGTTGGCAACCCCTAAGCCACTGATGCCAACACAAGTCAGACGCACATTAGAAGCCCATCAAGAAAATGAATACTAACCCTGCATACAGACACCATGTTGAAACAGCAATTGTTCTACAATTATTTATTGTACAAAACACTTCTGATAAGACAATGGTCTCAAATGTAGTACATGAGATTGCTTACCTCTGTGCCAATGAATGTAGGTCTGATGTACAAGGAGCATCTTTGAGAATATGGCACCCATTCTTGATCGATACTGATCAGTTTTTTCAAACATTTCAGTAGTTCTATTTTGTCAAACTCCTAAAAATGAAAGTTCAGTGTTAATGGTGTTATCCTTTCAATGTGAGTAAAAATTCTCACAATTCTGCTCAGAACATTTTCCAAAATCTAATGATCTAATAGAAACAACAATCATCATCATCATTGATCAGCAAGTCCTTTACAAAATGTCGCCGTCTTCACGGCTCGCATGAAAGTATCGCTTTCCCTAGCCAGCTCTCCGGCCCCATGTGCTTTCAATGCCCATCCTTCTTCAATTTCCTGTATCCATTTTCGCAGTGGTCGACCCTTTTCTCGCCTTCCACAACCCCTGCCTCGCCTTCCACAACCCCTGCCTCGCCTTCCACAACCCCTGCCTCGCCTTCCACAACCCCTGCCTCGCCTTCCACAACCCCTGCCTCGCCTTCCACAACCCCTGCCTCGCCTTCCACAACCCCTGCCTCGCCTTCCACAACCCCTGCCTCGCCTTCCACAACCCCTGCCTCGCCTTCCACAACCCCTGCCTCGCCTTCCACAACCCCTGCCTCGCCTTCCACAACCCCTGCCTCGCCTTCCACAACCCCTGCCTCGCCTTCCACAACCCCTGCCTCGCCTTCCACAACCCCTGCCTCGCCTTCCACAACCCCTGCCTCGCCTTCCACAACCCCTGCCTCGCCTTCCACAACCCCTGCCTCGCCTTCCACAACCCCTGCCTCGCCTTCCACAACCCCTGCCTCGCCTTCCACAACCCCTGCCTCGCCTTCCACAACCCCTGCCTCGCCTTCCACAACCCCTGCCTCGCCTTCCACAACCCCTGCCTCGCCTTCCACAACCCCTGCCTCGCCTTCCACAACCCCTGCCTCGCCTTCCACAACCCTGCCTCGCCTTCCACAACCCCTGCCTCACCTTCCACAACCCCTGCCTCACCTTCCACAACCCCTGCCTCACCTTCCACAACCCCTGCCTCACCTTCCACAACCCCTGCCTCGCCTTCCACAACCCCTGCCTCGCCTTCCACAACCCCTGCCTCGCCTTCCACAACCCCTGCCTCACCTTCCACAACCCCTGCCTCGCCTTCCACAACCCCTGCCTCACCTTCCACAACCCCTGCCTCGCCTTCCACAACCCCTGCCTCGCCTTCCACAACCCCTGCCTCACCTTCCACAAACTGCACCCTACATCACTGTCTTTTCCAAACCAGCACCAACAAAACTGACTACAACAAACAAACATGTCAAAAACTGAACAGATCTCCACAAACATGGTGTCTGATTCAAGCAGAAACACATATTACTCTATAGTATACCACTTGAGGGGTTAGCTTAGGTTTGCTGCTGTAGTCATTAAAAGCTTATCTCATTTATAATCCATTTTTACTTTTCAGTGTACAGTTATATAACTTGTATATTTTGTAATTAATGTAGTCTGATATATAATACTTTATAAACAGTTTAATTCCTTAGGCACACAAATTATCGAGGATATTCATCCTATCTGTAAATAACTGACCTCACTAGATTCTCACAGAATGCAAGCATGCAATACTGATTCATTTACGAAAATATCTCGTGGAACATAGCACTTCACATAATATATGCTAACACATTTTCTAAACAACAGTCATTTGAAAACTCATACCAACTAAGTCATCATCATCAAGTGCCTTGCCAACTGGCGTGTACAATCATGTCTCTCCACAATCTGCGATCCGCAACTGTGTGTATCAGTTCATGTATTGACATCCCTCCATGCCAGGACAAAATACTGTCAAGAATCTTCTCATGCTGTCTTCCTCTGTCTCTGTTTCCCCAGATCTTTCCAGTGATCACAACATGTTCCATTTTCCCTCTTCTCATAACATGACCAAAAAATGACTGCCTCTTTCTGATGTTTATGATAAGTTGTCTTCGAGCATTCGCCTTTTTCAAAACATCTGGCTTGCTCTTCATAGCTGTTCTGTAAAACCACATCACTGAGGCCTAAAGATATTGTTCGGTTCATTGATTCATTGTCCAGACTTTACAGCCGTATGTAAAAACTGGCTCTATATAGCATGCGAGAATTCTGTTGCTAACCTCCAATGACGTGGATTTGTTGCACAAAATGTTCATTTTATAAAATTAATAGTTTTGGCCTGCCCTGTTGTGTATCTCTGTGATACATCTTCCATCGGATGTTATTCATGTCCCTAGATACTTGATACTTATATTTCTGTACTTGTTCCAAAACAATGTCGCTGACTTTTATTATACATTTAGGCACTATTCTTTTCTTGGAAATCACCAATGCTTCTGTCTTTCCATTATTCAAACTGAGGTCTATTTGATCCATTTCTACTATCACCGTGTCTAACTTTTCCTGTAGTTCTTTCTGACTGTTGCTTTCAAGACGGTCTCATCAGAATAAGGCAGATTGTTTATGTTATGATAACCAGCTACAATTCCTGGCATATCGATGATAAATCTCATTATATATATATATTCACCATATAATGAAAACAAATCAGGTGATAGTATGCATCCTTGACTCACTTTCCTCTTTATGCTCTGAAATGTTGCCAAATGGTTATTAATTCTTTTAGCTGCTGCCAATACATGTTCTTTCTGCAGCTGGACGGCAACAGCTATTGATTTTAGTTTGATTGCATATGCAAAGAAACTTGGCCAGCTATAAGTTTATAAAAGATCGAGGTACCCGGGAGATGCTATCATTTTGGGACTAGCCATGCTTTTCTTGTATGTCAATGGCAATTATTTTTGTTTTGGGTGTATTTTAATGATGCTGCAAGTAACTAGTGATTAGGTTATGTCAGAAGAATGACTTTGTTTCAGGTGGCAAGGGCCAGTCACTTGATAGAGGGTAGACCAGGAGTTCAAGAGCGATTGGTAGACAATAACTGTTATCTATTGTGTAGCTGCTGGGACGTTAAACAAAACTGATGGGGGGCTTGAAGCCAGATGGCATCAGCTATTAATTTTAGTTTGATTGCACATGCAAAGAAACCTGGCCAGCCATAAGTTAATAATAAAATCAAGACACCCAAGAGATGCTCTCATTTTAGCCTTACTGTTCAGTCCGCTGTGTTCAAAGGCCCTGGCTGCCGTTGTTTGACTGCATGTGGTCTCAACACAGTGCAGGTGTGTAAGATCAAGCCAACAGAGAGATGGCTGAACTCATGGCGGTAGTATGGTTCCATAGTTGAATTTGTCTTTAGTAGTTAAACTGTGTAGAGATTTATCAGTGTGTATCATGGCTCGGAGATAATTCATTTTATTAGTGAGCTGCTTAGCACATTGATGGTTGTTCATGTTTTGTTATTTGTGAACAGTTCTCAGCTTTGTGTTCAGTGAAATAAACAATGTTGAATGTGTTCTGATAATTGTAGTTGCAGTTGTTTTGATTAGGATTAGGACTTGTAGTTAGTGTGTCTAGTTGTACCTGTTTACTACTGATTAGACTTCATACAGAACATTTCCTATCTGGGTAAGGCACTATTGGTCTTAGCCCCTGCCTAACAAACTTTTTCTCTTCTTTTTCTTGTTACTAAGGCAGCCTGAGTGTGGATTTACTTCCACTCTTCACAACATGTTTATTGGAGCTCTTGTATGTTCAGAGTCAAAATGGGACCAAAGAGTAGATTTTTATATTATTCTTTATAGGTTCTCTCCAGTTCCTCTAATACAATTTCCCTCTTTGGTTTTGTTTCTAGTACATTTATAATTCATAAATATTTTCCATTAATGTTAAACTTTTCCAATAGTTTATTTCTTCATATTTCTCACAATCAAATGTTTTTGTTTTGTAAAAAAAACATAAGTAAAGACTTTTTTTTTTAACTTCTTTAGCTCTTTCTAAAAGAGTCCTGACAATGTATTTGGCATTGTTTATACCTTTTCCTTCCACAAATCCACACATTCACTACTTTCTGGTTCTATCTTGATTCTTGGTCTTCTCATAATTATTCTCAGCATAATTTTTGTCACATGGCTCATAAGACATGGTTCAATAGTCTTCATATTTTAAAGTGCCTGGTTACTTTGGCGGAGCAAAACATATAGAATTTAATAGGTCATTAGGAATGTACCCACTATCATAAATGTCATTTAACAATTTTGCTCATATTTCGATTCTAAAATATTCCCAAAGCTTCAGTTTCTTCCAATGTGATGTTGTCTGGCCTGGGTGCCTTTTCTTTCTTCATGTGATGTGATACATCCTCGACTTCTGAAGCAAGTATTGGTGGGCCTTCACTGTTGTCATGAAAATAAATTTCTTGTGGTCCATTATCATCATACAGATCCCCCAAGTACTCTGTCCTCCCCCCAAGTACTCTGTCCTTCCCCCAAGTACTCTTTCCTTCCCCCCAAGTGCTCTGTCCTTCTTTTATTTGTCACTTTGCCCCACTAATGTTTCACCTATTTTAAATTTTAAACATCCACTAATGTCATCTCTTCTTCGCTGTTAATATGCTTATATGTTGGTGCATGGAATGCGAGTCTTTCCCATGATTTTTCCCAACCTCTGACCAACTAAGTAGCAGACAGTATTAGAATCCCAAATTTAAAGAAAATCGACAGCAATGCGTAAGTGGATTTATAAATGATATACTTTACCAGTGAGAGGGGAAAACCTAAATAAATTTATACGCACACTTCACTGATAAATTGCTACAACATAAATAACAACATATAAACAAAACTTTTTATGGTCCTGCTGTTCTGTACATAGAAAAAAAATGCAGCACATAAGTCTCCAGAAACCTCCTAGATGTAGTTTTCGTTAATTACAAATCATTTCTAAAACCCAGAACAGCATTTTCTCACATTGTTGCACTATTTTTTGTTTCCACATTTTATCAAGGATATCACCAAGAGAGCTGTTGCAGGCAATCAGGGATATCATCAAGAGAGCTGTTGCAGGCAATCAGGGATATCATCAAGAGAGCTGTTGCAGGCAATCAGGGATCGTGATCTGTGGAGACGCATGAGCGCCTATACCAGTTGGCAGGGCACATAATGATGACAAAATTGTATACATATATTTCTTCACTGCTACAAAGGATTTAAAAAATACATCAATAAGAATATACTCACAGGAAGAGCCGTCCTTTGTGCTGTAGTTGCCATTCGATTAAGGTTTTCCATTGGGCGAAACAGTCTGATTTTATTATCCACACATCTGTATGCTTTCATGCCTTCAAACAGCTGAAATTATTTACAAAGTAGAAAACTGTACTTTATTTCTGAACTGTGATATCCTTAACAACAGTAAGTTTAATCCTTTGGAGATAAAGCTGCCGATTTATCGGCCTGACACAAAATAACCGAAAAGATGATTGGGCAGATCGGTCAGCCATTGAGATTGGCTGGCAGGTGCTTGTACCAGCCAATCAGATTGCTTCTTGCATTTCTTGCACGTCTGGGCTGTTCAGTGATGGCTTTAGAGAAAGTTTGATGTGTTCTGTAATTTTACATTGACTTTTTGGTGGGGGTTACCTGTGCCCAATAAAAGCAAAAAGGACTGTTGCTTCATAGCAACCGAAACCTAGCTGGAGGCAGGAAAAGGAGTAGAACAGTGTGCCAGAAGTGTCTAAAGGTCCTCCATGTTTCTTATTTCCCAAGAGTGTTAGGACTTATTCAGACTTCATCCATAAAAAAATTTGCCCAAATACTTTGTTAGTTATGTTTGTTCCCAAGTGAAAACAAATGTCTGCAAAAATTATGCAAATCATAATAGTTAATTTGAATGAATGTTGAGATTTCATTTTGATTATTAAATATTCTGTTAGCTCATTCAATTTCCTACATGAAAATATATAGTTTTTATGTTATTTAACGTTTGATTAAAAAAAAAACAATTTTGTGAGTAAATTAGAAAATCCGTTACTGAAGCTCCGTCTTTTTGGCACTGAAACTCCAAAAAGGCTCCATCTCTGAAGGTTAAAGTGTGGCTTTGATAGGGACTGAGAGAAATCCAAAAAAATATTCTTTCATGTCAAGTACTAGCTCTGCGTACATATTTTACCTTGCTACACACTGTCAGGTGGAAATAACACTCTTCTATTCATTTTGCTTTCCATAATTTAGAAATTAAATTTGTTCCTCAGTATGAGGATTTTGTTTATTGGTTCACAGATCTGGTTCCATGAGCACAGATGAGTGTGATAATGCTTTTCTCCTTCCTCATAGGCTCAAATTCTTCTTTGACAGTTTCTGCTTTCAATAATTGCTAATTCTCAGCAAACTGTGTATGTCACTGTTTATTTAATTTGTTCATATTATCTAAGCATCTTTATGCCACACATAACACCACATTTCAAAGCGTGGGGTTGGGTGGGGCTATAGAGAATACATCCAGTGCTTCTGAAGCATGTCATAAAATGTGATTAGTAAATGGTTTGTTAAACTGTATATGTTGGGCCATAAGGCGCAGATATTGCAGCCTAGTTGAAAACCATATAACACAACCTGTCAACCACCATTTGAGGGGCAATCACAGAAGGAGAAGAGCATACATGAGAGATTTATTATATAGCAATACCTAAACTGGAATATTTTCTTTAGCTGAGATACATTTGCTAGAGATTTATGTCAGATGAGGTCTGAACAAAGCAATATTCCTAGACAATAACAGTGTGTATTAGCTGAGTATAATGTGCCAGAAATATGTGCAGACATATAGAGCAAGCAGCATACAGGGATTTATTATATGGAAGAAATCGTCAACTATATTGTTTTTTTAAATCATGTGGCTTCTCGAAGTTACCTAACTGAAACAGTAGATGATTTGGGATCTATATACTTTTTGTAAGAACAGAAATCCCAAGCACCATAATTTATATTTTTGTTTGATTTCTTAATCCTCTTTATTGTCAATCATCACATCTGACATTGGTAGCAAGTAATATTTGGTACAAAAAAGTTCTGCCCCATTGATGTCAGTTGCCGCATTTGTATACTTCATTACTGGTGACAGTCCACTAATGTGGTTTGCTTTGTTATAATTTGCTTTGCCATTTTCCCATCTGATAATATTATGTCCCTTAAGTATTAGAAATGGTTTGTTTTAGTTATTTTTTTAGAATCATCTTAATTCCTTATTCTTCCTTCCTATATCCTGTTTTTTTCTGTAGTGGTTTTTATACTCTAGTATTGTGTTTTTCTGTCTGTATTCAGGTTTTATTTGGCTATGAAAGTTCATATGGTGTAGTTGCTGCAATAAACTGAATATATTTATAGAGTTTAAAAGCACCTATAAACTCCTGTACTGGGGTAGGAGCCTGTCCTACTACGAGGCGCGTCCACCAGGTGGCGGATGGTGGAAAGGCCTCTAGATATAGAGGTTAGTCACGAATATATTGAATAAGTGGCCTTGGACCAAAACAGGTGATGGTCATTGAGAGAAGGCGAGTTAGTTGTTGGGACAGCTAACTCTATAAAATACCTCAAAACTCTACGACATGGCCATCGGCAGGTAAGAGGCGCCATAACCTATCCCCCCTGCTGCCTTGCAGGGTAAGTCTCTTTAGACAAAGGCTATTGGAGTCAAACCATATACAAACCGGCGGAAGCCAAGGGGAAACCACCGCTGTACTATCCCAAGAAAATCATGCCTCAAAATAATATATTCAGATAGCGACATGAATGGGGATTCCAGTGGAATCACCTTGTCTGGTAGGGAGCATCATGTTCTACGGGTGATACCCGACCGTCATCCAGCTACTGTAGAAAAAGTAAATGGTAGACACATCATGAACATTGGTACATGGAATGTCAGAACACTCGTACAAAACGGAAAGTTGGATAACATCAAGATGAAAATGAAAAGAATGAACGTCAACATATTAGGAATTAGTGAAATGCGATGGCCAGGAGCAGGTGAAAAGTATTCAGATCAGTACAGAAGTATTTACTCAGGTGGGAAGGAATATAGTAAGGGAGTTGATATTATTTTGGATCAAAAGAACTCAAAAACTGTGAAAGGATTTTGGACAATATTAGATAGAGTACTATTAGTAAAACTTCGCGTGAACCGTTTGACATCAACTTAGTACAGATTTATGCCCCAACAGCAGATAGTTCAGAGGAAGATATTGACGCATTTTATGACGAGTTAGACATGGCTGTTGATCAATGCAAAAATTGTGAAGTAACAATGGTACTTGGAAATTTATTTCAACGCGAAAATAGGAAGTGAAAAAGTGTAAGGAATAACGGGTGGCTATGGCCTAGGAGAAAAGAATGTGAGAGGTGACAGATTAATAGCATGGGCTGAGTCACGCAGCATGATAATAGGTAACACCTGGTTTAAACACCATCCTCGAAGATTGTGGACTTGGAAAAGTCCTGGTGATAAAGATGCAAGCAGTGTTTTACTCATTCAAAATGACATAGGGAAATTTTTCAAGACCATCGTGGGAGTGAGACAGGGTTGCAGACTATCCCCCTTCTTTTTCAATTTGTATCTGGAACACATCATAAGAGAAACAATAGAAAATGTCGAAACATTTATATCCATTGGGGAAAGACCGCAATGTAATTTACGTTTTGCAGACGACACTGATATTATGGCTGGTTCCCAAACAAAACTCCAAAAACTTACTACAAAATTAAAGACAGTCTGTGGCAAATAGCATGGAAATTAATGCAGAGAAAAGCAAGATTCTGGTAAATAGTCACAATAATCAAGTACCTACCAATATGTATACAGATGAAAGGGAAAAAAACTAGATGAAATTAAAACCTTTAAATATCGTGGCTCCCACATATTATCATGGCTCCCCCATATTATCGTGGCTCCCACATATGTAATGATGGCAGCTGTACCAAAAAGATCAAGATAAGACTTGATTTGACAACAGCCATGATGTCCCAGTTGAATACAATGTGGAAGAGCAAAATTAGCATCAAAGTCAAGGTCAATATTTACAAATCACTAGTATTGTCTATTTTCTTGTAGATATGTCAGAGTTGGACTCTTACTGTGGAAATGGAAAGCAGGATTCAGGCTTTCAAATGTAAATGCTGTAGATGCATTTTACGAATTAGCTAATTAGAACACAAAACTAACAAATATGTCAGAGACAGAATATAAAAATGTACAGGACAGCAGGAGCCTCTCTCGGCCATGGTGAAACTGTCACAAGCTAGCTTGGTTTGGGCACATGGTGAGACATGATTTGATTGCAAACACTGTACTTCAAGGAACAATGGGGGTAAAGGGGGGGGGGGGGGGGGGGGGGGGAGGTAGTCGAAGATGAGGAGGGCATAGAAGAACCTGGAATGATATCAAGAAATGGACAGGACTAAGTTGGCATTCCCTTATTCATGAAGCGGAAGATGGCGGATGTTATGTGCTAGTTCTTCCATTGATACACCTCCATGACCCTAATGAGTCAAGGATTATGTTATGTTAACTTGATGCAGATTTCAATCCATAACCTCTGCTTCCCTATCACTACATAAGTACTTGCATACTTTCATGCCCGCCTGCAGATCGGAAGGTCATGGGTTTGCATCCTGAACCACTTTTTTTTTCAAAAATTACTTTGACTCCCAGGTCGACCCAGGTACCAGGTCGACCCATCCTTGAGTGGGTACCAGGTCGACCCATCCTTGAGTGGGTACCAGGTCGACCCATCCTTAAGTGGGTACCAGGTCGACCCATCCTTGAGTGGGTACCAGGTCGACCCATCCTTGAGTGGGTACCAGGTCGACCCATCCCTGAGTGGGTACCAGGTCGACCCATCCCTGAGTGGGTACCAGGTCGACCCATCCCTGAGTGGGTACCAGGTCGACCCAGGTACCAGGTGACGTTCTAAAGGCATGGAAAAGGGACCTTTAATTTTTTGTTTACTTGTATACTTTCACTGCTGACTGATTATTTAACAGCTACTTAATATATTAATTCAACAGCTACTTCAAATACTCCACAGCAGTCCACTGATCTGGTCTGAAGTGTTCTCCTGGTCTACATTCTATTTATGCATAAAAGCCCCTTCTGCAAATAAATTGCTTCAGGTTTTTACATTACCACATTACTGATCTGTTTGGCAGTTTTTCTTCTTCTTCTTCGTGTTCACCAGCTGTAAAATCGGGTGGAAAGTTCTGGTTGTTCATCCACTTTTGACTTCAGTCTTGCTCTAGAACTTTGCATGCAAATTCATATTACAGATCTGGCTTGCTTGTATGCTGACTGTTGGGTCATTGCCTCTCAGGGAGATACATTCAGACCAAAGGAAATAAATCCCTAATTAGTTGGCTCTTATGATATGCTTGCTAGTGAGGCAGTGGGTCTACCCCCCCCCCCCCCCCCACAATGGGGCGTGTGATCCCACATGGGGAATGTAATTGTGTGTGGCAGAGACATTTATCAAACAAACCTCTGTAGCATAATGAAGAACTTTGGCAGCTGGGTGTATTCTCAGTGGCTCCACGGGTTTAATCTGGGGACAGCCCCAGCCATGTTGTTCAGTCCAGTCAATTTCTAACATGTGGTCAGATATGTTTGCACCAAATTTTAGCTTGTCATTGTCTGGCTTTCTGGCTGGCTTGTCTGTCAGTGTGATCTGCATGTCTTCGTACTGCAACATAAAATGTCAAGTATATGATACCGAGTGTGTGTAAGGCAAGGTACAGCATTGACATAAGAGGTTTCCACAAATTACTAAAAATATATTATACTCTAGTTAGTTAGTTAGTTAGTTAGTTAGTTAGTTAGTTAGTTAGTTAGTTAGTTAGTTAGTTAGTTAGTTAGTTAGTTAGTTAGTTAGTTAGTTAGTTAGTTAGTTAGTTAGTTAGTTAGTTACTTACTTACTTACTTACTTACTTACTTACCTACTTAGTTAGTTAGTTAGTTAGTTAGTTAGTTAGTTAGTTAGTTAGTTAGTTAGTTAGTTAGTCACTTAGTTACTTACTTAGTTACTTACTTAGTTAGTTAGTTAGTTAGTTAGTTAGTTAGTTAGTTAGTTAGTTAGTTAGTTAGTTAGTTAGTTAGTTAGTTAGTTAGTTAGTTAGTTAGTTAGTTAGTTAGTTAGTTAGTTAGTTAGTTAGTTAGTTAGTTAGTTAGTTAGTTAGTTAGTTAGTTAGTTACTTAGTTACTTAGTTACTTAGTTAGTTAGTTAGTTAGTTAGTTAGTTAGTTAGTTAGTTAGTTAGTTAGTTAGTTAGTTAGTTAGTTAGTTAGTTAGTTAGTTAGTTAGTTAATCAACAGATTATCCTCACTGCACATTGGACACGCCCATAAGTGCTCCGATCCCATCTTCAGTATTTCCCCCAGCGTAAGGCGACTGATAACACTAGTTCTGTGTTGGTTTACTATTCTTCTTTGGCCACCTGTAGAGTGTTCACGTTTAGTGACATTTCTTTTGACCTGAAGTTCCTGTAATCTTTTCAGTGTTGCCGATTCAACGTCATCCCCTGAATCATCTTCTCATCCTGCCTCCACTACTTTTCCGGTACCAACCATGGCAGCAAGCCAGTTGAATTGATGACCTGCTCTGTGACTTCAGAATGTGTCTTTTCTCAACTTAATTTTCTACATAATTTAAGTTAAATGATCCTGGATATAACCTAAATCAAAGCCATCCAGAACAAAGTTATTTAATTTCCAGGGACTACAGTTAAAGTCAAACATCAGTACTCATTTCCAGAGCATACAGATAAGACTGAGCAGGTAGACTTATTGGCACCAGTGAAGTGGAAAGCTCAGACATAGTGGCTGGAGGTTTTGATTGTAGAATTAAGGTGTCAGATAATTATCTCCTAGCCAGACCTTAGGGAGCAGATAGCTCAAGCTAATTATGATTATCTTCCCCTGAGATTACCTTACCTGAGTGCAAACCAGATAGTATTGACACTAGTCTGAGGGAGGTGTTAGCAGACAGAAAACCTGGCAGGTTGAAGATAAAGAGAATGGTGTGACTTTGCTAATGAGCTCTGGCCAGCTTGATGGAGCAGGAGAATGTAACCCAGGGTTCTACTTCCTGACAAAAACCTCAATTGTCCCTCTGCTCAGGTATGTGTCCTCAACCCCTCATTGCCCTCAGTCAGCAGATTTTCCTCCATTCCAGCAGGGCACTGCCAGGTCACTCTGTATTTTAATTGATGTTTTCATGTATGTTTTCAGTGTACATGTCATGTTTTTCAATGTTATATAACGTGAATATTGATGTTAACATTGAAATTTACTATCATTTTTAGGAAATCAAAAATGTGAAGACGTTTTTGCAGTTTCTTTGCATGTGATTATTTTGATTATCTTACATACAGCTAATTCAATTAAATAAATTATTTAACTCATGGGGAGGCTTATTCAAGAGATTGACCACGAAGAGTAAAACCCTGAGATTTTATGTTTGATATCGCCTCAGAAATATTGATATCATTCTGGGCACGCACATTATTTCAGGTATTATTCCAGAACTTGTTCTGTCAAAATGAATATTATCTTGAGTCTGCATGAGAGACGACCTCAGACTTAGAGGACACAACTATCATTACAGGACATGAGAGGAAGAAGGCAGGAAATGTAACAACTCATCATCATGTAGCAGGTCCTTTGCAGATTGTCGCTCTCATCACAGTCTGCCTGAAAGAAACTCAGTCTCTCATCTGTTCTCCCATCTCGTGCACTTTCACACTCAAGGAGTCACTTATATTCTGTGCCCATCTTCGTGTTGGTCGGCCCCTGACCCTCCTTCCTGGTACCATGCCTTCTCCTATAATTTTTTCTAATCCGTCATGATGCTTGATATGACCAAAATATTTCAGCTTTTAAAAAGTTGGAGTATAGTTTTAGATTTCCTTTCTTTGGGAGAGGGATATAGACTGTTCTTTTCCACACTGTAGTTGTAACAACTACAATTTGATATAAAGCCCTTCCAAACTAGACGGTACAGACTGTGTAAATGTGCAGGGGAGATGTATTCTTTCTTTATGAATATGTTCACTATGTGTAAGAAACCTGAGCTTAAACATAGGTATTTGTTTCTTTATCGCAGTTCCCACATGGGGAAGGAACTAGTCAGCATCCATTCTTTGCAGACAGTCTAAGTGTAATGACCTACTTGAAGCAGCGAGGACGACAAACTGGAAAAGAGGCAGAGTCTCATCCTGAGAGCTGTTGCAGGTTTAAAAGGGTAACTACGAAGTTATAAATTACTACCCCTCCCCCCCCCCCCCCCCCCCCCCCAAAAAAAAAAACGATTACTGCAAAGCAGCAAAGGACTATATCTATAGATGAGAGAACAGTAGGTAAATAGTAAGAAGATAAAAAAAAAAAAAAAAAAGAGCTGATAGAGATGACAAAAAAGAAAAACTGCAGTGACAAACAAGAAGAAGTAAAAGTATATCCAGAAGATAAGGAAGCAGCAGAAGACGACGATGAAGAAGAAGAAGAAGAAGAAGAAGAAGAAGAAGAAGAAGAAGAAGAAGAAGAAGAAGAAGAAGAAGAAGAAGAAGAAGAAGAAGAAGAAGAAGAAGCAGAAGAAGCAGAAGAAGACTGAAAAATAATAATAATAATAATACTAATAATAATAATAATAGAAAGAAGAACAAGAAGATGATGAACTACCCTTCCCCTCCCCCTTTCCAAACCCCAAAACTATTACTGTGTTTAGTCCAATGACATCGTTATGTGCTTTTAAAACTATATAAACTTCCGAGGCTAAAGACTTCTCTCGCCCTGCCACCTGTACAGCAATTTTTACTGTGGCTGAAACAGCCGTTGATTTTTAACTGCCTCATTATCCAGGAGATGTCTAGTATAACAAAAACAAAAAGTCCCACATCAGCAAGTTTTAGCTAGGGTCAGAATCTGCAGTCACGTGACTCTGTAAGCTGTTTTAGTTGTGTGGTTATATTCTGGCACAGACCTACGACATGAAGGAATGTCCACATTCCTTTAAGTGCTAATCGGTTCCCCGGTAATTCGTGGCACCAGTGCCTATAGGGTTTTCTGGAGGTTCTGCGAAACCCAGGCGGAAAGGTCTAGGCCTATATTACCACGCCAGGAAACCGTGGTCAGAGCTGTCTCAACAGCCTTATAGGCAAACCAATGTGTTGGGGCCCCAGCGACAACCATTTAGGGCAAGTCACATGACATACACAGATTAGTATGGGGCCCCTATGCTAGTGGGACCCACGGCCCTATGTATCAGATGGCCCTGGTCGCAGTAAGGTAGTGGCTAGCCCGACCCGATGATCAAGTGTTCGAATCCCCATCTACAGAGGAAGTCAACAAACACTGATCTGGACTTTCAGGTTGATTTAGTCTTAAATGTGCACTGGGCAATCTTCTATGGGGTTAAAAACGACTGGCGTGTAATGATTGTCTCACCCGCTGTGTGCCTGATTGTCAATAAATAATGTGGGGTTAAGATCATATACTTCATGGGACTTTCAAAGGGTCCTGTACTTTAATACTTAGTGCTACATGACAACTTCAAGCCTGGATACCACATGACTGCCAACAGAAAAAGTCATTTATCAATATACCATGTTAGAAAAATTAGGCACCAACAAATGAACAGGTATTTTGGGATCCTTGGGGCTCCAGCGGGCGCAAGCACTAGCACCTATCTCAGGAGGAGTCCTGCCTGCAGAGGGATGAGCACCGATACATGTGCAGAGGGATGAGCACCGATACATGTGCAGAGGGATGAGCACCGATACATGTGCTGGGGGATGAGCACCGATACATGTGCTGGGGGATGAGCACCGATACATGTGCAGGGGGATGAGCACTGATACATATACTGGGGGATTAGCACTGATACATGTACTGGTGGATTAGCACCATGTGCAGGGGGATGAGCACCGATACATGTGCAGGGGGATGAGCACCGAGACATGTGCTGGGGGATGAGCACTGATACATGTACTGGGGGATTAGCACTGATACATGTACTGGTGGATTAGCACCATGTGCAGGGGATGAGCACCAATACATGTGCAGAGGGATGAGCACTGATACATGTACTTGGGGATTAGCACCGATACATGTGCAGAGGGATTAGCACTGATACATGTGCAGAGGGATGAGCACCAATACATGTACTGGGGGATTAGCACCGATACATGTGCAGACGAATGAGCACCAATACATGTGCAGATGGATGAGCACTGATACATGTGCAGACAGATGAGCACCGATACATGTACTAGGGGATTAGCACCGATACATGTGCAGACGAATGAGCACCAATACATGTGCAGATGGATGAGCACTGATACATGTCGAGACAGATGAGCACCAATATATGAACTAGGGGATGAGCACACATATATGTACTGGGGGATTAGCACTGATACATGTGCAGGGGGATGAGCACCAATACATGTACTGGGGGATTAGCACCGATACATGTGCAGGGGGATGAGCACCGATACATGTACTGGGGGATTAGCACTGATACATGTGCAGATGGATGAGCACTGATACATGTACTGGGGGATTAGCATCAATACATGTGCAATGGGATGAGCACTGATACATGTGCAGGGGGGTGAGCACAATACATGTGCAGAGGGATGAGCACCAATACATGTACTGGGGGATTAGCACCGATATGTTGTGCAGGGGAATGAGTACCGATACATGTGCAGAGGGATGAGCACCAATACTTGTACTGGGGGATTAGCACTGATACATGTGCAGACGGATGAGCACCAATGCATGTGCAGATGGATGAGCACTGATACATGTGCAGACAGATGAGCACTGATACATGTGCAGACAGATGATCACCGATATATGAACTGGGGGATGAGCACAGATACATGTACTGGGGGATTAGCACTGATACATGTGCAGGGGGATGAGCACCAATACATGTACTGGGGGATTAGCACCGATACATGTGCAGGGGGATGAGCACCGATACATGTGCAGAGGGATGAGCACCAATACATGTACTGGGGAATTAGCACTGATACATGTGCAGATGGATGAGCACCGATATAAGTACTGGGGGATTAACACCAATACATGTACAGGGGGATGAGCACCGATACATGTGCAGGGGGGTGAGCACAATACATGTGCAGAGGGATGAGCACCGATACATGTACTGGGGGATTAGCACTGATACATGTGCAGACGGATAAGCACCAATACATTTGCAGATGGATGAGCACTGATACATGTGCAGACAGATGAGCACTGATACATGTGCAGACAGATGATCACCGATATATGAACTGGGGGATGAGCACAGATACATGTACTGGGGGATTAGCACTGATACATGTGCAGGGGGATGAGCACCAATACATGTACTGGGGGATTAGCACTGATACATGTGCAGGGGGATGAGCACCGATACATGTGCAGAGGGATGAGTACCAATACATGTACTGGGGGATTAGCACTGATACATGTGCAGATGGATGAGCACCGATACAAGTACTGGGGGATTAACACCAATACATGTGCAGGGGAATGAGCACTGATACATGTGCAGGGGGGTGAGCACAATACATGTGCAGAGGGATGAGCACCGATACATGTACTGGGGGATTAGCACCGATATGTTGTGCAGGGGGATGAGCACCGATACATGTGCAGAGGGATGAGCACCAATACTTGTACTGGGGGATTAGCACTGATACATGTGCAGTCAGATGAGCACTGATAAATGAACTGGGGGATGAGCACCGATTCATGTACTGGGGGATTAGCACTGATACATGTGCAGATGGATGAGCACAGATACATGTACTGGGGGATTAGCACCAATACATGTTCAGAGGGATGAGCACCGATACATATGTAGAGGAATGAGCACGGATACATGTACAGATGAATGAGCACCAATACATGTGCAGATGGATGAGCACCGATACATTTGCAGGAGGATGAGCACTGATACATGTGCAAGGGGATGAGCACTGATAATGTGCAGAGGGATGAGCACTAAGATACATGTGCAGAGGGATGAGCACTGATACATGTGCAGGAGAATGAGCACCTATACATGTGCAAAGGGATGAGCACTGAGATACATGTGCAGATGGATGAGCACTGATACATGTGCAGAGGGATGAGCACCGATACATATGTAGAGGAATGAGCACTGATACATGTACAGAGGGATGAGCACCGATACATGTGCAGATGGATGAGCACCGATACATGTGCAGGAGGATAAGCACTGATACATGTGTAGGGGAATTAGCACCGATACATGTGCAGAGGGATGAGCACTGAGATACATGTGCAGGGGTATGAGCACTGATACATGTACAGAGGAACGTAAGTAGGCTGTGGGCAGACGATGTATGTTACTATTTTGGCTGTTTAATTCTGGACATGTATGTGCTTGTTTAAAAAAGATATTGTTTGAAATAGAAGCAGATGATACAAGCCAGAACAGCTGAGCTTGGCAGTTTAAGCTAATTTGCAGTCAGACAGAGGCATCACACTATTATACGCTTGGTTGGTGAATGACTGGACTGTGTACAGGCTGCACAAGATGGGAGAATGTTAAAACTGTCAACTAGACTGTGTACAGGCTGCACAAGACGGGAGAATGTTAAAACTGTCAACTGGACTGTGTACAGGCTGCACAAGATGTGAGAATGACAACATCAGTTAAACCTGTCTACAGAACTGCTTACCCTGAATGTAGACAACAGTCGGATGCTGTGACACAGTCTCACGTGACTCTGCTGGCGGGAGAAGACAGCTAACCACATCATTTTCTGCAGGGAATAAACATGAAAAACAATAAGCAGGCATTAAGAATGATCATTTCAGAATCTCCACATTTCACTACCATACAAGGTGTCACTGGTAGGAGTCATCCCATGAATAGGATATTTAATTATTTTAAACTAAGCTGTACCCGGCCATGCGTTGCTGTGGCTCAGACTGGCTAAATGGATAAGAAAGAAATTATAAAGCGAATATGTCTAATGTGGTTACTTTCATAATCAGTGTCTTCGCAGATAAAGAGAGTCTGGTATGCCGACTTTAAAACACAACAATTAACTGTCTTTTTATTAGTGGTCGTTTAATTCCTATTATTAGGACTTTAACAAAATGGTTATTTGTTTATCACTGCTAAAGCATTTTTTTTAACAGGTGAAAGTTAAGCTTCTATATAACCAACAAATTAGCAAAACAGATGAGAATAGCTGAGGTAGCGTTATTAAAATATAAATTAATTAAACAATGAGAAGTTAAAAATCATATCTTAAGCACTCTCAGATAACAGTTTATGTCATTACCCTCCCCCCTCCCCCACCCCCAATCTACTACTCTCTCCCTCTTTGAAGAATTTGAAATTCATCCCTTGACAATATTTTTTTTAAATTGACTTTGGCATACGTGTCGACCCAGACTAAAATGGATAGCAGGAATTTTAATATTTACCACATCAGCCATCGAGTACCAGTACTACTATCACTATCACCACCAGCACTATAACAACTAAAAAAAAACTGTCGCTAATGTCTGTTTTAACACCTTTTTAGGTCTGTGTAGACAGGGGTCAGCAGCCTGAGGATTTAGGGCCGCATGGCTAATGCTGTCGCCACGGACTGTTCCGGTTCGGATGTTAAGTCTTCTTCTTCTTTCGTTCGCCTGAAATAAGTTATCTATATCAGCAGTTTTGTCTCTTGTATAAATGTCACTGTCGTTGTTAGTTCATTCAGTGGTCCATAGAGTTTACGTTCCACTGTTGTTCTTTCTGGCCAAAAGGTTTGCCTTAATGTGTCAAATTCGGTGCAGTCCTGGAGTACATGCTCTGCGGTCTGGGGCACATTTCCACAGGTGCACATGGCTGATACACCTATCTTGAATTTTGTGTACATGTGGTTACGTAATCGGTTGTGCCCTGTTCTGAGGCGGAAGATAATGACTTGTTCTGGTCTGTCCATAATAAAATAGTCGTCTTGTGCTGGGGCTGGTGGTTTCCTGGTTGATTTAATGATCCTTTTCTTTTGGTGGTATGTGACTGGTACATCTGGCTGCTCTTTTTTCGCACCTTCCCCTGCCAGTTGATCAGCTTTCTCATTTCCAGGCACTCCACAATGAGACGGTATCCACTGCATTAGGACTCTTCGCTGAATGCTGAGTTGTGTCAGCAGTGTTTGCAATTCTGGTAGTTTCCTATACTGGAGTGCTTCAAGTACTGATTTAGCATCTGTAAGCATTACCACATACTGTGAGCCAAGGTTGGTATTTAGCAGTTTCTCTGTAGCTATCTTAATAGCCTGGGTTTCTGCATCGTAGTTATGGCAGTACTTCCCGGTTGGTACGCTGGACTTATCCCTAGTACCATCTGGGAATTCGATGTACACTCCAGCACCACCATTTCTAACTGCACTTTCTGCTGACCCATCTGTATAGACTCTGACCCATTGTTCTTGTGGGTATTCTTCATCAATATAACTGAGGGTGGCCATTTTGCGTTGTACACTATCTTGCTCTTTCTTGTCAAATATCCCTTTCACATTTGTCTGGATTTGTACCGTTAGTTTACATTTTTCTCTCCTTGGGGTTTGTTCCGGAATACTTTTTAGTGGGCAGCCAATTTCTGGAAGGTCAGGAGTTTGTCTACATATTCTTTTTGCTTGGTGTATAAAGCTGCTTCTTTTTAACCGTCCCAAGGCTAGGTTCTTAAATCTATTTTCCATCGGGTGATCTGGCATACTGAGGAACTTTTCAGCTTGTATTTGCAACTTTGTATCTCTGCGTTCTCTCAGTGCCTGTGTTTTCCCAGCTTTCTCCATTTCTAATATGGGGGTTGATTTCATCCCTCCTGTGATGACTCTGAGCGCTTGATTTTGCACTTTGTCTAACTCCTTTAATGTGGTACTAGATGCTGAACACCATGCAGTTGACCCATATTCCAAGTGTGGAAGTATGCTCTGCTTGTATACTTTATTGAGTATTTTCCCATCTGCTCCCCATGTGGTTCCACTTAGTTTTCTTAGTATTGCTGTCTTCCTCCTGGCTTTGGTTGCTGCCTTGTTGATATGTTTTCTCCATATCAACCTGTCATCAAATGTGACTCCTAGGTATGTGGGCTCTTTATCATCTCTCAGGGGTATTTCATTTATTTTGATGGTGCCAGCTTTTTGCTTTGGGGAGAGGGTGAATAGTGTGGTGCTACATTTGTCTGTGTTGATGCTGACACACCATCTATTGGCCCATGCCTCAAGTGCATTTGTAGCCCGCTGTAGTGTTTTTGTGGCTATCGTTGCATGTTCATTGGTGCACCACAGTACCAGGTCGTCGGCATACATTGCCATTTTGATTCCATTTGGTATCTCAGCAACCAGATCGTTGATAAATAAGTCTGTTAAGTCTTGCATACGACAAAACAACCTCATTACCCTACCGGGGGTCGAACCCGGGTCTGTCGCTTAACAGCCCGACATTGTAAACATTCGGCCAACCACAACTACTATATTATGTTACTACTAGTGCTGCAGCTACTTTGAGCAGATAAATCTGGCGGCTACTATGACTCCCCCCCCCCCCCCCCCCCCACATAGATAGTAGTAATGTGACTAATGTCAAGTAGGATGCATATCGCCAAGAAGATTTTGTCGAGGCTGGTGGATTGGGGAGTGACGCTGGAGCAGCCAGACAATATTTCCCCTGGATTGGGGAGTGACGCTGGAGCAGCCAGACAATATTTCCCCAAAGTGCAAGAGTCGTCTGGATAATGACTACAGAACGGGCGCCATTGGTTGGTGGTTTTTGTGCTTGTGTGGATATCATTACAAAATCTTTTCATTCCTATACAGTTTTCCAACAACTCTCTTTTGATTCCCAAAACTATTATTTCCAACTTGTTTTTATTCCCACATCTTTACATTTTCAGTCTTTCAACAACTCTTCATCCCAATAAGAAAATAATTAATTATCTCATGCAGGTCAACTGTCAAATTTCGCCTACCAGCGGAAATAAAAACCAGGGCCCCGAACGCGAATACAAAAAAATCTGATTGTCTGAAAACATAACCAAGATGTGATTGTCGCTGTAGCTATGTAGTTCGTGCTTTGCGTGACAATTTATATAAAACGTGCGCGTATTTGAATGGAACGTTGTGTGAAAACTGTCAAAGCAACTGGTGAAGAAGTTTCTAAGATTAACGATTAGGAACGAAAGGATAAACATTTGTTTATCTATATAGATAGCTGATTGAATGAACAAATAAATAGATGAAGCAATGACATCACCACACTTTGGATCACACTCATATTCTGTCATCTCTTCAGCAAATAACCAAGTGGCAAAAGGATGGAAAATCTAATCTGACTTATTTCACGAGTATTTTGCACGGCCACTGGTTTTAGCATTGACTTGTTGTTATACGAGGGTAAATCAAAAACGAAACGTAATTTTGTATTTTCAGAATACAATAAGACTGTGTGTCTGACGTCACCACAAATATACCCGACGAGAAGTGGAGGTGAGACTATCCATGCGTGGCCTTCGGACTTTCCAAGGCCCCTATCCATGAATAGTCTGTTTAGTCAAGTGTCGAGGTGCTAACAAGTCACCCGTTTAGATGGACCACTCCACGAATGCATAAACAAGGAAACGGCGCCATAGTACGCTTTTAGTGGTCATAGGGAGTCAAATCGCAACACCTCCACCGCCGTCTTTAAGCGCAGTACGGACGGAGCAGGCATCGCGACAAAAGGTGTATGCCATGGTAGGTCGCTTTGAGCAGACGCACTACTGTAACGGATGAAATTTGAAATGGATTCCTAAAACATTTCTCCCACAAAAGCAAACGTCCAACAAGTGAAAACTAATTTCAGTGACGGTGGGAGAATCACTGCACGACACAAATTCACTGCCGTGCAGACGTTTATGTAGGGAAATGGTCCTTCTTCGTATAGGTCAGTAAAGATGTTACGTGAACAATTTCTATACTTTTTGATTTACCCTCGTCTAATGCATCGATGACGTTAGTGTCTGGATACAGTTTTGTTTTGTGGAATGCCTTGGAGCAGCCTAGGGTTAAACCTCCGACTCACAAATACCGTTAGCCGTTTTAATTTGTGACTGGTGTGGTCAAATTGTCCTGTTTACTTCGCTGGACTGGGTAATCTGGTATTCTTTTTGGTGATGTCGATTCACGGGCGCCAGAAGAACCGGGCGAGGGAGTTCGCTTCTTGCGTCCTAATTTTTTTTTTTTTTTTTTTTGGGGGGGGGGGGATTAGCGCTAAAACCTCAAAGCTTAGGTTATTCTTCCCGACCCCTCTCGCCCTTTTCCCCAGAGTACAAAAGTGCGGAGCCCTGTCAAGGTATTCTCTGTATCGGCGCCTCTAGGAAAAATTAATTTGTAATTATCGCGATGAGTATTGCGAAATTTCGCATAATTCATTTGGTTAGGCAGTGATTCTGAATCTAAACGCAAGGACATCAATCCAGCCAGCCACTTCAAACAGCGGCACAAAAGGCTGGACCCTCAGACAGTGAAGCCCCCTTGCACAAATATTTAAGTGGCCCTGCTGCACTATGTATGTGTATAGATGTCATCTTTTAAGGCCTGTGTTTATGTGTTTATTATTTAAAAAAAAAAAAAAATTATTATTACTGGAAGTCGCCGTGGCGTAGCGACTAGACGCTCGCGCGCGGATCGGAAGGTCACGGGTTCGCTCCCTGGCGGAGCCAGACTTTTTTCAAAAACGTCATTACTCCCAGGTCGACCCAGCCTTGCGTGGGTACCAG